TCTTGTCTATTAAGGGGAATACAATGATTATGATGATGAGCTTTTAGTGCAAAAATGCTCACAAACTAGACATATGGTTGTCCGAATGTTGTGTTATTAGTCAGGCGGGTTGTGAGATGAGCTTTATTCTGGGGATGAAGAATCAGGTGACGTCTCGGAGGATTTGGTCAAATGTTTTCAGTGCAATATAATCTGTAACGGCGTATGAAAGTGCTCCATTTGAGAGCTTGATGTTGACAGATTGGCCGCTAACCCTTCTTGTGTACTTCAAGCTTAATGTTTTGTAAAATATTTTTTGACAACTTGCAGCTAAGTGATTGCCTTTTCAGTTGGCTGTGTGCAGAATGCTCAGCCGTCACTGTATCCAAGAATTACCTTCCTTTCTGCCTTGCCCATTAATTCATGTTGAGCCAGGTTGGATGGGCAGCGTCACAGCAGCGATCATCGTCAGCCAAATACATTTTTAATGGAATTCAAAACCGGCTTTGTTTGTGCTGCTCAGTGGAATCGACCCCCTTGTTCTAAATCCTGATCCTCGTTGATTTAACTGCATGACGAAAGGGTTGATGCCTCAATTTAGGGTCATGACGGAGGTCATCGGAAGAATATTGTCACACTAGCGACATAACAGAGACGTCTTTATTTGCTTGTTTAATTGTTCCTACGCTGTGCCTTTTGAAACCAATTTAAACGAGCAAACACTAAATAATTTAGGACACAAACTGCTTCACTGCTTGGTGGTAAACTGTTTGAACCTTGACTTTACCGGCCATTTCAATGAATATGTTTTTCACAGGATTTCTTTTTATATTTCACAGTATTGAAAGGCGTAAACTCTATAATGAATGACACTCGACAAGACGGACCCAAAACCGGACCGGCTGTTTGCAATCTAGATTAATAGAAGTTTGCCGTTTGCCTTTTCTTGATGGTAGTTTGCAGTCGACAATGTGTATTTGGAGTATCAGCAGTAGGTGATTGAGCAGACTACCTATCGGTAGTTTATGCTGAACCTGCATTGAGGTACTTACAGTGTTGTGAACTGTGTGGCCTGTCATTTGTAACGGATGCTCATGTGCTGGGACAGAACTGGGACTGTGGTGTGTTGCCAGTGTGATCATCAATGTCTCCCACCCATTTGTTGGTCTGTCCCTTTAAACTGAATTGAAGGACTTGGAAGTCATCCTCAAATGTACCACTAGAGGGAGCCACAACACAATTCACTGGCAGTTACTGAGCAAATATGTTTGCAGGAAAAGGTGTGTGTGTTTATTTGCTACTGGCAACTTCCAACCAGCTTTTTGCAGTGCTGCAGATTCTAATGGTTCCGCATCAACCAGCAGCTTTCAGTGTAATTAGCGCGAGACCTTTTGAATATGACTTTGTCACTCAGCGTGCAGATGTTGACACATGCTACGACTTCTAATAACGTCTATTCATATGCGGGGGTGAGCAGCCTGCACCTGTCTTTTTTTGCAGCCAAGCATTGATGGAAGATTCAAGTGTTTACTGGTGGAACGGGACAAAGGATGCACACAAACGACAACTTGGGATGGCTGCCACCCTCCGACATAGCAGCAGAATAATGAGGGATGGGAGTCGAGCCCATCAGGGGGCTTTAACCAAAGCGAAGTGGTACACGTGGTTACACTGGACCTGTGAGTCCTTGCTGCATGTGTGTGTCTATCGTCCTGCTGTAACTCATAACAGTTGAGGCACAGGGAAAGTAGGACTGGTTGGGGATGAAATAGGCCATGAATAGAAATAGCTCCCGCGCGCGGCCTGAGCTCCACGATCTCTGCAGGGATCGCTGTGTGTGTGTGTATGTCGCTTGCCTCTTGTGTGCCGTCTCTTCTCCGTCCAGGTGCCCGTGTGTGGGAGATCCTGCCCGGGACTCTCGAGCTCCTGGAATCCACGAGGAGGCATAAGGCCTCTGCCAACTGCATTAAGATTAAAGGCATTGACAAGGAATGTGTTGTTGCCAGCTCAGATGGGCCCTGTGTAATCTGGGACCTGGCGGGAGCCAGAACTCGCCCACTCAACCCCTTCTGTTTCTTTCCTGCTGAGACTGACTCACGTCACAGGAATGGATAAGTCAGTTAAACTCCGATGGAGGCGATTGTCTTGTTAAACCTCCAAATGCTTTTGTAGAACACCGTGTTTAGTGAGGGCCGTAATAAATACACAAAGCAGCATTGATTTCCTCTGTGTGAGCTTCATGTGACGAGTCCGATATTCCAGGATTACACTGATCAGCAACCTCCCAGATGCAAGGAGGGTCATTGCCAGGCAGCAGAAACGTGAAGCCAACGATGAAGAGTCTTAGACTTCTGTCTGCTGGCCATCAGGAGCCAAGTCTGGTTGTGTAAAAGTGGATGAGAACTATGTGTGTCGTTTAACTTCTGATTACGAAAAAAAAAAAAAAACAGTCGCAGAGGCAACGTCCACTTCTTGTATACAATCGAATGTCCTTGTTAGTGAAGGAAACAAAGCTTTTTCAGAACATAAATCACGAGTAACTTATAAACTTGAATCGTGCTGTACGTGTAAGTCAAGGTGATAAGTGATGAACTCACTGAATGCTCTCGCATCCGGTCCCATTAGCACAGTGTGACGGGGTCAGTACGTTGCTCTTTAGTTCAGGGAGCGCTTGATCCCGGAGCAGATGGCAACTTAGTTTACCGGCTGTTGTTGCCTACTTCATCTTTCATAACATTTCCTTTTTTAAAGAGAGCGTCACAGGCTTATTAGCTCTCCACTTATAGGCTGACTGGGATATTAGGCCAGCACAGAGCAACGCTGATCTAATTATGTGCTGCAGCACTCAGAAAATACACACCTTGCAATCTCTTGTTTATATTATTATACATTTAAGTTGCCACCACGTTACAGTTCAAAGAATTGGCCTTTTAAATGAGATGTTCCCTCACATGAAAAACAATAAAATATGGACCACAAATAGCTTTTCTACAATGGTGCAACCTCCCTTTTTCATAGTGATAATGTAACTTATGCATGAAAAATTAAATTAGATGTTGGAGGGAGGAATCATCCGCACAAGAGAAATATTAAAAGGTACTTGACTTTTTAAAGGGAAAATGCAAAATAGCTCTAAAAATAGAATCAAATCCAAGCTGATCGCAAGGCCAAAAGAAAAAGGAGACAACTGCCAAACGCAGAAGACGCTTTTACTTTGCTACAAACCCTCAAACATGCGCAGCGCTGCTGTTAATGAGAGATGGCGGCAGCTCCGAGCCGCCCCGGGGTCATTGTTGAAGAATTAAAAAAGGTATTTCATCAAGTCCTGGGACTAGAAGGATTGAAATACTCCAGCTGATGGCTTTGTAGTAGTTTCATAACAACTCCCTTCGGCTATCATTGACTGTGAGACATTAGAGGCACATTTATGCTGCTTGAGTTTCATGTCATTCCAAATGATTTCAGCAGGAAATGAGGCTTGATGGAAAGCGAGTCGACCCAACGAGTTTAACTACGTAGTTCCTGCTGGTTGAGCGGAGCCTCGCGTTGTGTTTGGGCTCGTTGTTCTAGTGTGAGATGTTGGGCCAACCTGCACCTTAACGGACCTTAACGGCGCCCGCCAACTCCGCAAGGGTTCAGACCTGTCTGTCAAACCATCGAGTGTTTGAGGGCACTTTCATTTGAACCCTTTCTGAACCTTTTCTGAAACTCCGCATTAGTCATTTTTTTGCTGCACACTTCAAATGAAAGTTTCTTTTTCTTTGTCTAAGTAGTACCAAGTGGGCCGCGCGGACTAGTACCGGTCCGCGGCCCGGTGGTTGGGGACCACTGCTCTACTGTATGTAGTCCATGGCGGTTTCTAGTTCCCAGCTTAAAAGATTTCCTGAGTATTCTTGACGTTGCTCCTTGAAAGGGGCCTGCTGGTTGCACTCCATACCACCACCACCACCACCACCAGCAGCATCATCAGCTCTGAAGGGAAGCAGAGTAGGAGGCTCCTCGTCTTGGCTCAGACTCTCTCTTCAGGTCGCATCGGCAGCGAGGAGGAAGGTCAGTCATAATGCTCACTGCTGCAAAAAATCAAAAGTTCCCCAGTGTTCGTGAGACAGCGGAGGAGATAAGCCGTGCTGCTCTCCTACCTCATCACCCAAGTATGATCGTAATAATCCAGGACACCGTAACCTGCGATAAATGCCTTCCAAGGTTTATCTAATTTCTTTCCTCTGTATGCTGCCGTACATTCACACAAGATGTGCTCTTTTTGTAGATTCTTAATTGGGATGAATCGGGACAACGTAGACGAGTTGATCGTCACTGTACTGGAGTTTCCAGATTGTAAAACTGTGAAGTAAAAACGTCTATGAACATTCTATGGGACAGTTGGTTACACTTCATAAACGTTTTGAGGTGCGTGGACTTTAGTTTTGAAATATATTGCTTTGTGCTTTACAATTTTCAGAGGGATGTGTTGCACAAATCTGCTACATTTATTTAGCAGTTAAGGCTACTTTATTCAGACTAAAAATGTAAAAGTTCGCATCATTTTAGATGTCTGTGATTAATTCCATCTAGGAAACATGTCCCCTCTGAACCTGTCGCATGGTTTCATTTGAACTGTTTAATGAACAAAAAGGGGGGAAAAAATCCAATATGTCAGAGATCAGAGGAATTCCAGAAATCTCTCATTTGTGTTGCAGAGCTTCTGTTGTTCCTTGTTAACCGCCCGTGACCCCTCAGTTACACCCGGTGACCCTTTGGGAGGGGCCTTTGTGAACTAACCACAAATAATGTAGTTAAACCACTCAGTCACATTATACTTAATTGATGACTCGTTATTACCAACCTGATGTAATACAACAGGGGTCGTGTGTACTTAAAGCCTTAGAAGTACATTCTGCTGATACTACTACGTACGCCTACTTGGCGAGTATTTGACCCCGCGGCGTGATACTTCAGATAAGTCGCAGGCTTCCTATCACCAATGGAAAGTCAAATATTTCCGACGCACGTGTGGGGAGGAGGCGCCGCGCGCCATCACGAGCCCTTCTCCTCTTCCCCACGCGAAGTCGCGAGCGATGCGGAGGGGAGCGCTCGGATGCGGCTACTGGACGGCGCGGCGGCTCGTGCTGCGCCGGGCGTGACGAGATGCTGCGGAGTCGTCGGGAGTGATAATGACCGCCTTCAGCGGGCGCCGCGATGGGTGAGGGAGGTGCGCCGCCAGCTCGGGCCGGAATAACAGTGAGCCGCTGTGCCTGCCGGCCGCGCGACGGTGCCACCCCCGCTCTCCGGACGGGGCACAGTGGCGGAGATGTGACGCGCCGGCGCCGGAATTCAAACAACCATCAGTGTCGGAAATAGACGGGCGAGGCAGCGGAGCCATGGAGCGGCAGAGCCGAGCCAAGGGGGGGACGCCGGCGACGAGGGAGGACAAGCGCAAAGACAAGAAGCCGAAGTCGGGTAAGCTCTTCCGAAGGAAACCGCTGAAGTCCGTCGGGAGTTTCATGAACAGAATAATTAAAACTTTGGGCACTTTGACCCACTTTGGAGACGCGGGCGCGCGGGACGCGGAGGACGACGACGGGGGGTTCCGGAACGGCGCGGCGTGCGCCCTCGGCGCCGGCCCGGGCTCCGCCGGGGAGGACGCGCGTCCGGCCCGGGAGCGCGTGGTGAAGAACACCGCGAGCACGTCGTCCTCCCTGTGCACCGGCCGGGACAAACTGCTCCACCAGTTCGCCGACAAGATCCCGGGTGTCGTGGGCCTGAAGAACCACGGGAACACCTGCTTCATGAACGCCGTGGTCCAGTGTCTGAACAACACGGACCTGCTGGCCGAGTACCTGGGGCTGGAGCGGTACAAGCTGGACCTCGGGCACGCCGCAGTACGCGCGCACGGGAGGAGCGCAGAGACGCGGCCCGCCGGGGGGGAAGTCACGGAGCAGCTGGCGTCGCTGGTGAGGGCTCTGTGGACGCTGGAGTACACCCCGCAGCTGTCTGTGGACTTTAAGGTACTAAGGTGTGCACACAACAACAACAACAACAACACCGCCAACAAAGCGCGCGGTCCACAGGTGCATGTGAGCTAATTGATACTCATTGATAATCGGTCCATTTAGTGAGTTTTATTCAAACACGTGATGCGCACAGTGTGCCATCAACTCCAAGCGCACAGAGGCGCACTAACGGTCCTCTTCTTTAATAGAGTGGTGACCAGTGTGATCCCGGGGCGCTTTGGCCTGTGGCTTCAGTGTCCACCTCCCTAAAGGCCAACAAGGCCGCGGCCTCTCAAGGTCTGAGGACTTCTGCCACCACATAACGTTATGGCAGAAGCAACCCCAGTAGGTGTGCAATGACTTCAACTTGATCCCCACTAGTTCTGCTCCTGCAGAATTAACTTTTTCTTTTCTTTTCATTGCCTCTTTCACGGCTTGGTGAGCAAAGTACTGTGGTGTTTATTTAGGTGTGTTGCCATTGCGATGAAAAGTGCGGTTGCTCAGGGAAGATTTAATCTAACACATCCTTCCTAATGCCCCCCCCCCCTCTCCCACCACGAGGATCAGGGGCTGCAGAGAACTATCAGGAGACCCTCAGGCGTTCCTTCTCTGCCTCCCTGGAGATACGTATGGGAAGGGGGGGAGCCGTATTTTATCCGCCTGAAGCTCTGGATTTCTTTGAGCCATAGTTCAATGCAAGAAGTAGATAATATGGAGCAGTGAACAAAGAAACTCCACAATGGATCTATTCTTGGAAATGCTAATTTCCCTTTAAGAAACTGGCACAAGGATGGCTACTGGAATATTCTGACCCAAACTGTGTTCAGCCATCGCCTCCTCACACTTCCATATAACGTAAAGAGGAAAGCGACCTCAGGGCCAGCTAGGTATTTTTTATGCATGTGAAATGAATTTAGAATCCATTTAGGTTGTGGACGTTGGAGGTCCAGAGTTCATACAGCTTAGGCCTTCTGAAATTGCCTGTTGAGTAATACCACAGCTGCCTGTAGGGAAGCATTATAAAATAATCAGATAGCTACATGGATTGTGTCTGAGAGGCAAAATGAGCCATGCAGGAAAGCACACCACTTCTAAACAATCCCCCGAAAAGTGATTGTTTTTACTTTTTAAAACTGAATGAATATCTTATGGTTGGAAGTTAATTATCTCTATTTGGGGGCCTCTGAACAGTCAGGTGTTTTGTCAGGTTTGGGTAAAGCAGCCAGATTAAAATGAATCTCTATAGTAACCCTCCTCACATCAGAAGAATGTGGATAAGAAAGGATAAAAAAAAGCAGGTGTTGAAAGGAATCTTTTTTTCTGACAGCTACCCTTTCAACACCACGTACACTTTGCACTGTGCTTTTTTTCTCTCTTTCATTTCAAATGAATGATGCTGTGCATGTGCACCTCCTCTGCAAATGTGGAATCCCCCTCTTTGACTAAAAGTTCTTCTAAGTTGAGTCAAGTTAATGAATCAGCAGCGGCCTTCTCGCAAGGTCAGTTAGCTGCAGATTCCCACTCAGGAGGAAAAACAAAACACCAAAGTCCTGCAGAGTAGCTGGCACTGCGCCACATCCCAGCACCACTCGTGATGTAGGACAAGAGAGGCGGAAGGATGGAGGCTGCTTTCGCCGATGCTCACTAAAGATTAGGCATCGCGGCGCGGCTCTGTGTCCTGAGGGTTGCATTTCTTCCAACCTGGTAGCAGATGTGATCTTTTGATCTGGACGCTTGCAGTGCGTTTTCTGCACCCCCCCCCCGACACAGGATGGTGTGTTTGCGCAGTGAGGCCTGGCCTGGACAGGGACGGAGCCTGAAACTCAAACAGTTACCCAACAGCCAATTGGTTTCCATAACACGAGAGGCCTGTGAAAGAAGGGAGTGAGGCCGAGCAGGAATGCCGTCCTCCCTTCACTGGATACTGATGGGCCTATTTAGGAAGCTAAATGTGTGTTGTGACGACAGCGGCTCTTGCTCACAGGTATGTGTCAATATTTGCCGTCTCCGTGTTGATTTTTAATGATTATCTATGTTGCAGTTAGCGGAGCAGTGACTCCTTACCAGGGCCCCGTTCCTCGCATGTGGATAACTGAGTTAGCCGAATCGTTTTCAGGATAAGATTACATAGGTCAGGCTTTTCGGTTCCACAACTGACTGGATAAGCTCGCTACTCCCCTGGAGAAAAGGGACAGATCGCCTCTTATTGATGGAGTATTAGAGTTCCTCGAGATCACGAGGATCTGTTACCGCACTACGCTGACTTCCTGTACGAGCGACATCGATTCTTCCGACAAGGAATTGTGTATTTATAAGACCTTCTTGAGCCGGACACTGAACGCCACACGCCACAGCTGCAGAACAGCGTTCACCGTCCCACAGACTGAAACAAAAACTCCCCAATAGATTAAAATCCCTCTCCCTGATGTACAATATGTTTAATTATTACGTCACAAATGATTAAAATATACATATCATGGTGTTGAATTCCCCATATGCGTTCATGATCATCTCCTGCTCGTCAGCGGAGGAAAAAGAGCCTCTTCCATTGAGTTTATTTGTGGTACTGTTTTACACCTGTTTTACATTTGATCCTCGGACAGGACGGTACGACCAAAAATTCATATCCTTATATCTTACAAATCGTATTTTGTAAGATGCTGGCGGTATTCCGGTATATCGCGGTATTTCTTTTTAGTAAACAAGTTAATTCATTGATGTCGAAAAGAACTGGCCGGCGAGTTAGCTTGTTAGCCTGTTAGCCTGTTAGCTGTTGTGGCTGCTAGTGTGTCCACCAGAGGAAATCCCAGCGTCTGATCTAAATGTACAATGAATTGTTTTCTGATCTTACTTATGTGGGATTTTTCAAAACCAAAAACTATCCAAACAGCACAGAGCTCTTGCGCAACAGAGTGACATCTTGTTGTGATGGCGGGCGAACGACGACAGTCGGCATCGCTGTGACGGAAATGTGAAACCCAGAAAGGTCTGAGCCGTAAGACGTCCACATGTTGAGTCTGCTGGATCCGGAAAATGCATCCAATGACGGAGAAGACCGACTGGAAGAGAGTTAATGATGCAAAATATCTCCACGTGTCGTGGTGGGCATGTCAGCGCTGCCAAGTCATTAGCAGACACTGAATATAGAAGAACCCGGCACTTTCTCCCACTATGTACTAAGTACTTGGAAGGTTACTTTAAATACGCAGTGGGGTATAACAAACTAGTAAGTGAATTATTTCATGAAAGTCATGTATTTTTCTAATAATACTACTTCTAGTATCTAAATTAGGCAGTGTTAACTTCACAAAACTAATGCCTTTATTGAAAGTTAGAAGAAAAGAGCCACTGCACTGTTTGTTTCTTAGTCATCAGATTTTCTGCACTATGCCACATCGCAGTAAGATGAATTTTGCCCTCACTGTTTAAAACAGACCGGTCCCGCATTGTCGGGTTAACTGGACATGTTGGACCAATGGTGTAGATAGAAATATTTAAAAGTTCATATAGGTCTAAAAAAACCCGATAGGCTCTTTGAACACTTGATTATTAAAGGCGGTGGATGAAATCTATCACGTCAGCTAAAGGATGGAGAGGAAACCGTGTTTGGTCTTTGTCTGTTAGTTTGATGATTACACACATTACAAACTGGCCAGTGGCCATTATGCCCCAGAGAGCAATAAACAACAAGGCACTTTCCACAACCTCAATTACATCACTGAGACAATTGCCACCTTCAAAGGGCTGGAGGTAATTACTATTATTACTGCTTTAGTTGCTGCGTGTGCACGGGTCTCATGGTTAGCAGCAGAGCGTTTCAGTAACCCTGAACGTTCGCAAGGCATTTAAAAAGAATCGGCTCTTCCATACCAAACCTCTTCCCATCAGCTTGAATTGTTGTAATGTTAAATATAAACTATATATTTGTGTGTAAAAATACATACACGCGCTTAAGGTTGAACAAAGACTTCCCCGAATCCAAGATGTGTCGTCTATAAGAGGGAAAAGTGAACATATCCGTGCAAACATGCAGCGTGAAGAAATGTCCATCAGGCTCTTATGTGCTCCATGTAATTGCTCAACAAACTACTCAAGGAGCTTTATGTTTGAGAACTTATTTTGATTTTGTGGCCAACATTTTTAAAAGCAATTTTTAGGATGCAGCATTAAATCACAACACTCGTGACTTCACTTCGACATTCTTGATCCTTGGCTTGAAACTACCGACAGACCATAAACTCATGTTCACAACGTCTACCGAGATGATCCATTTAAGTGAGAAGTAGAATCATTGTGTGATCACACACACAATCATACTCCAGAGCCGTCTGGTGATCGCTCTGCTCATACTGAAGGCCACTCTTTCTGAAACCATCTCCATAAACTAGACTTGTGTTTACTGGTTTGCTCCGTCTTTCTTCCCAACTGCATCTTTTTATCTTGCCACACGCTCCACTCGGGGATGCAGTTTTGGGTGTTAAAAGAGCAAAGCGTGTTTTCATTCGGTATCCTTGCTCATCTCTCTGGGGATCAACCAGCAGCTCTTCAGCGACAGACCGCTGACTTCATCATCAGACATGTTACATCACGTTATAGGAGAGTGTCCATAAGAAGCACATCGCATATTAGTGGATTATGAGGCGACGATTACAGTCTGCTGCTGCCTCCGCTGTGACCTCTCATCACTGGCTCTCCTCTTGCCGGCTGCCAGCTGCCGGCTGCGGTTCACGCAGCTAATTCCTGCCTAATTGAGTCGGGTGTCATTTACATACAGTGTGTGAGCTGAAGCGGACCTCAACCCCGCGCGAAGAGGAACGTTATTCACACGTGCCCTAAATGTTTGATTCGTCAGAAGAAATAAGGGGGAAGGCAATACTTTTTCAGCGTAAAATGCATCTTACAAGGGAAGAGTAAAGAGCTTCAGTGCAAATGTGTAATTCAGGGATTCCTCTAATCAGCGCTGCTCGCAGAAGGCCGGGGTTTTTCATTCGGCTTCTCCAGGTGGCACCGCGGCTTCAACCCTGACAAGCTGTCACACGACAAAAGCCGCATTCACAGATAAGGTTTCTCTTTTAATCGCGTGTACCTCTCTCTCTCTCTCTCTGCAGACCGTAGTGTCCAAGTACGGATCGCAGTTTCGTGGCAACTCGCAGCACGACGCCCTGGAGTTCCTCCTGTGGCTGCTGGACCGCGTCCACGAAGACGTCAATCTGGCCTCCCACAATAACAACAACAAGACCAAAGCCCCCGGAAAGGTAAGACTCGAGCGGGCCAGTAGCTCCTGGAGTAACGGGCATCAACGTTAGCACTGCGCGGCGTATCGATGCTGATCTAATACGTGACTCCGTCTGATTAATTACGTTCATTAATGCATTGAATACCACGAGCTCCAGTGGCTTGATGTAGCAAAGCCATATTTCATATGATTACACAACGTCTGATGGATCAACATTTTTATGAATGATAATTTGCACATTAATTAACATGGCGCTTTTCCTCCTGTTGCCCCATGAAGCAAGTCTTACCTCGCCGACGAGGCGGTCCAGAAGTCTTTTTAATAATTCCACAGACGGCCTCATCACAGCTAACTCTCAGGAGGTGACCGCGGGTCGGTCTCCGGCGTGCATCCTCTCGCTCTGCGTCTGATGCGTGGGGATTTGGGCGTTAGGCCTGCGGGCACGCTGCGTCCTCGTGCTCTTTGAATGGAACTTCGAGCTGCTCTGCTGTGAGCCACCGACGCGGCGTGAAGTAGACATCCCTCTTTGCGTGTAGTTTTAGCGGCGTGATAACCAGTGGCATAATTCGTGAGAAGCGCCGCAGTGACTGTTTGTCATTACAAATAAATCTACACAAACTCGCTACCCTTTTGTTTCCAGAGGGTAACTGCAATGAGTTATTCTCTCGTTTCGTCATCGTGGGGATGAAGAGACCAGGAAGTCTTACACTCTCCAGGCTATACATTGTATGATTTAGATGGATTACAATTATCATGACCGACATGTAAACTTTTCTTGCTCTGTCGTATAAATTAAGAAACAAAGAAGACTAAGAACAGTAATGCACTGTCAGCACACTATATCATTAGAAAGGCACAGTCAAATCAAAAGTTAGGGCTCCTTATACTAGCATTTGCTTGTCTTTTCAACTGCAGTTGATACTCAGTCCTTCCATTTGTACGTGAATGAGGCAGTGAGACTGATTACTGAAGACACTCAGTGAGTGAGAGAGTGCTCACCTTCCCTATCAACGAAAGTCTTACTTGACTTCTCTTCTCTGTGCTGTACTCGCATGGCCTGAGCGCCAGTGTTTTTATGAACTGCGTTGCCTTTGAGCTCAGTGGGTGATGGGCTGAGGTTTGGATCTATCGGGGGGGGTGTTGAGTGCACACGGGTCCGTGCAGGACGGAGGCCCCGCCGGAGAGCGGCAGATGGTATTTTAAACACCCAGACATAAACCTTTACAAAAAACAGCCGATTCCAACCAGGATCCCTCCACGTGATGGTGTGGATGCATCCATAGTGACGTGCCTGCCTACTTGTCTTGTTGGCCAGTCCAAATGATACTTTTGGCCCGCTGCCTGCAGTCGACCATTAACCTACAAATATCTGATAGGCTTGAACAATTGTATCAATACTCACAGCTTGTCAAACGGCTGTATCAATGCAGTTGTTGGAAACAAACAACTCTGTTTGCTCTTCAGAGACTTCTAATGGGAAAAGCAAACAAGTAAATGGATGACAATTGGAACGCCTGCAGGGTTTGTGGGGCTCCGGTGGGAAAAAGCCAAAGGGGGAAGTAGTGCACCCGGTCTCAATCATTGTAGCCCTGATAGCAGCAGGTATCTGTGTGGGAGTGTTTAACCGTCAGAAATGCTTTGATGCAAGAGATTGTGTCCCAATCAGTCCAAAAAACAGTGATATGGGATTGGGGGGGGCACTGTGTATAGAATATTCTCCTTATAAATAAATATCCTTTGCAACAACAAGAAGGAGAGAGAGTGAAGCAGCACGTTGGCCTCTGTCCAAAGCGGACAATCTCTTGTGACAGTTGTCTCTTATGTCTGTCCAGGCCCTCTGCCATCCGCCAGCGTGGGCTACAGACACCACGGTCGTCGGTGCATTTCGGTTTCATCAGCGCGGAAACATGCTGCCGGATAGGCCTCTACGCAGTACCACAAAAGAATACAGGAATGATCACTGTCTCCTCAGGAATCATGTGCTCCACACTTTGTTCTATCTGCAGCAGCGTGCCTCTCACACACCGCTCCTCTGGATGAATGTGCAGCGAGGTTGTGGTATGCAGCGGGCTGTCACTGCCCCACCCACAAAGGAGCTTTGTGAGGGGACAGCGAGGGCAGGAGACGAGTATTTGCAAGACAAGTCCCCGAATCACGCTCCCCCCCCCAGACTTTAAAGACCCGGCCGTGATCACGTTTGCCCTGGGACGGCTTGTTTGTTTGTTCCCTTTTGTTGGTTCACCTCCGCGTTGCTCCGCCGGGGCCGGTTGGCTAAGTCATCCAGGGTCACAGCCCACTTTACCAGTCCACGCACGTCCCCCGTCCCCCCCCTCACAGCCCGAGGAGTCGGCGAGCTCCATCCTCTCCTGCTGCCTATTCAGGAGCCGGAGGACCTTCACTAATTGCTTTCGTGCATTCACTGCTAGTTACCTCTTAGCACTGGAGAGCCCACGGGAGGGGGGGAGTTAAGAAAGTTCACTTCCCTCTTCCATCCACAGCCCGCTTGGACTGTGCTGTGCAGTCACAACCAGTGACTCTCTGGAGTGGTTTGCATCGGTAACGGAGGGTGACAGATCACCGCCCTGCTCACACACACAAGCAGGCCCACTCTCAATGCACACGCTGCAACATTTACCGCCGACTCCCCGTGGCTCTGACCTAATGTGGCGCACATTCTCCCTCAGTTTGTTGATTGTTTATCGCTTAGGAGACGCAGTGTGAAGCTCGCGCTGGCTGTGCCCCCCGGCTATGTGAATGTGTTTCTTTGTGAGTCGCGGGAAGAAAGAGACACTTGTTGTGCAGCGCTGGTACAGAGGAGGAGAGGTGAGACGGAGCTCTGACGGGGCGACGGCGGTAAGCAGTAGTGACAGCCAGAGAGCGAGAAATTACCCCTTTGATTCCACGTGAGAAGCATTGCCGAGGAAGTATTCACATTCAACCAGGTCTGGTTTGAGAGACTTTCCTCACACAAAGGTCCGGACCGTCACCGCAATCGATGGGAGCATGTTGCTCAAAGTTGTGCTTGGTCCTAGTGGCGCTTCACCGCTAGAAAAGCTGCGCCGGTTAACATTCGATAATTCTCCATCCTTTCTCAGTTGTAGGTCCAGACACAATATGACCTTTTCTTTTCACAAAGTGATTACCCACCAGCTGAATCGCTCTGACTGGATCATGATCAGGAAAAATGCATTACAGAAGAATAAAGAAGCAATTTGAGCAATACATTAACTAAACATCATGTAGGTTGGGTGGATGAAGCAGGACATGCCGGCGTTTACTCTCACAATACGAGACAAATGTTTTAATGATTATCGACCAAGAGGGTTACGCTTTAAACAGCTATTAACCATGAAGCCTGAAATACGTTGCACCGATCTGCCTTAATTTAAAAAACAATAAAAACAATGTACATCAGCCAGACGATCAGCATGAGTGCTGTTTGTTGGCCGTATCTAACGGTCCGGCTGCTGGAACACCTGCTCAGATTAGGCCGATGTCTCAGAGACGCACACGGGGGGGTTTGCTGGCTCTCCGCTCAGCCACGCACCTTCTCGAGGGAGCCGGTCCTCCTCGTGCCGCTACGCGTCACCTGCACCACAACCCCAACGATACTGGTTTATCAGCCGTGCCCTCCCTCTGCCCAGAGATGTGATTTGCGGGTGGCTGTGTCCCGACATCAGACACCGTGATCCAGACAGTGATCCAGACAGTGTGCCGAGGTTTCTAACATGGTTTCTTCTCTCAGACGCTGGCACCACGCGCCCATAAACGCACTGCCAAGCCCACAGCACAGCAGCTGCCTGTGTGCTCTCTCCTAACAGGGCTTGGTGCGACTGGTTCTGTTGCGATTCGTGCGTGCGTGCGTGCGTGCACGCTCTCCGCTCTGGCCTTCCAAGCTGAAATGGCTTCCTGCGGCTCAGAGGCCCCCAGCTGGAAAAGCAGCTTGGAGGGACGGGTCCGAATATGATCACACTGCGTTTGAGGTCCTCTGTCACCTCCGACCCAGATCACTGTTGATTGGCTAAGCACCAAACAGATGCTAAGATGACAGGTGTGTGTGTGGATTGTCAAATAAACTTTGCGTGTCCATCTAAATGAAGTCCGTCTGGATTCAAGGCGAAGGCCTTCTCCTAAAGCAGGGAGGTAGTTGTATTATATTATTGTATGGCTCTCTGCCTTCTGCAAGCCGATGTCTTGTCCTTGTCAGTAAACGCAGCTTTCTATTAGCTGGCGCTCTGCAGGGAAGCCAGGAAACCAGAAAACATTCTCTCATTCGCTCGCTTTGCAACTAAAGGAAACAAAATGACCATCAGCTGTTGTTGGATATTGACTTCTGAGCCTACATGGATGTAATTACTTCACTAGTTCAGATTTAGCAGGTCAAAGTTGAAATTGGCTCCACACAAAGCTTGTTAAGAGTCATTGTTTTTAAATCTCCATAGATTTGACGGGCCTGTGGAGAAGAATAAAGCTCTTCACAAAAGTTACATCAGCAAACTGATTTGTTGTGCGATGAATAGAAATGATTCACCAACCTGCAGGGTCTGATTGGCAGACGGCAATTTGAGTGATTCAGATTCCCTCAGTGGAGGCTTTCCAGAGAGTGTGTCGATACAATTGCCTGAAACTAGAGCGACTGGAATGGTTTAAACAGTAGTTGATGGGAATGATTTGAGCAGAGAGGCGCGCCTTTTCACGCCAAATCCAGTTTTAATACGTTCTCCTGACATGAATCTCCCCAAGAAGACAAATGGATTTTAAAAAAAGCAAATTATCAATCCAGCCTCATCAACAAATGCCGGCGTAGCGAAAGAGCTTTGATTTGATACCAATAGTAAAGTTTGTATTTCTGCAGTATCACTCCTTTGATCCGCTGCACACGAGCGCCTATTTTATTGTTGATTTTAAAGCTCTTTAAAACTCTACAGCAGGTACCAGCGTCTCTGCTGAAGGATGTGTGGAGCTTTCTTCATCCTGGTGAAGCAGGAGCGTAATAACAAACCCTGTCGGCTCGGGAGGCCGACCCGCCTTCATTAGAATTCATTTGCCTCTCAGCTTCTCCTGCTGCTCTCTTACAGCTGGGCTCAATCTTCTTCAGCACGAAGATGTATTCCCCAGTAAAATGTGCCAGCGCCACTTCAACTTTCAATTACTTTTCTTCCAAGTTTCTTATCATTTATTTTTCTTGGAGAATCTGTCTGAGCAGTATGGGTTTTGAGCAGGGATGCGCTCCAGAGGCAGATAAATGTGGCATTAGCGGGCATTGATCGGCTCCACCGGACCCTCAAAAGGGTAATGTCGATGCCATAATGGCCTGGTGGTTGTCTCTCACATCTATTTTTACCGGTTTGTCAAACTACCGAAGGATTTTCCGCCCATGAGGTTGCTTTCCTTCAGTGCTGGATATATGAGGCAATGACCGATCGGCGTCCTTTAGATGAGCCCTGCGCACTCTGGCCTTCAGCCTCCGTGCTCCCAGCAGTCAGTCAGGTACAACCCCGAGGTCGGCTTGAGTCCACGCGCCGCCCCCCCCCCCCGGGGGAATAATGGGCCAGAAGGTCAGAAAGAAAGGCTTCCATCGCCCGTATCGCCCGGGCTATTTATAGGGAGCAGGGCCCACAACAGGCGGCGCTGTTGAAGGAGACTGTCCATTATTTATCCGCCGTGTGGACCACTTAGACCTCCACTCACCCAATAGTGCTCCCCTTTCTCTCACCCCACCCCCGTCTGTCCATATCAGCGCGCGCACACACACACACACACATTCTGCACACCTGGCCCACTTCTCCTGCTCTCTGTTACGATCGCCGCAGGGATTAAGGTGCTGTTGGGTCGTGTTCTCAGTCACTCCTCTATAGTGCTTTTCTTCAGCTGCTGCACATGTCCGTCTCCGTGTGTTTCCACAGCTTGTTTAAATTATTCACATCGGGGGCCATTACTGGGACCATTCACCCCCCCCATCCATCCACGACGCATCTCCCCAACCTCCCTGAAAACGCATCAGGGCGAGACGGGGGGTCTGTGAGGATGTGGGCGCTCATTTCCTGGGTTTCTGGGAGCTCCTTCGCGGTGGGTCTACTCACCGAAACAAAACCGCTCGCGGCAACATCTTTTGGGGTGAATAATTGAAAGCCTCCGCGACGGGACGGGCTGTGCCGTTAATCTGTGTGATTTTGGGCTTTGAGGCTGAAGTACACATGACCAGGAGTCAACAGTGCCGGAGACGCGGTGGTGAGCTGCTCGTCTGTGTTTGCGTCCTCGCTGCTGCCAACGTTTCTTTTTTTATCACATCGATCTCGCTGTGGGAAGCTCCTCTCAGTGAAAGACAGAGGAGGGATTTTTATCGCTCTCGCACTCAATATTTTGATGGAGTTCATATTCACTTTTGTCTAATCCCAGGGGGGAGATAATCCATAAAACTGTATTTTGAGGTAGAAGCCATGTTTATTTTTTAATAAAAATAACTTCGGAGTAACATCGATTCCCCCAAACTGTCATTTTTTCAGGATAGCGTTGTCATTAAAATACAGTGCTGTCAGCTGGTGGTGTTTGTTGTTTGGATAACGCGTCTGAGCCGCAGCAATGAGCTCCGAGTCTCCGTCTCTCTTTCCACACACTCGTTTTGAGTCGGCAGTGAAAATCCCAGGCGGTGACCTCTGGCCCTCCGCTGACACTGCCGGAGGCCGGGGGGCGGCCTTCCGCCCACCACTCCGCTGTATCTTTGTCATTTATCTATATCCCAGAAATCAATTAGCACGTGGAGGTGCCGGGGTGAAGGATTGGAGTTTTAATTTTCTCCCTGCTCCCCAGCCACTGGCACACTACTGGCAACGAGGCTTATGGATTAAGAGGTAGACGATTCTCTGGCTTTGCATATCTTGGATATTGTTAATTATTTTGGCTTGTATTCCTCAGTGTTCACGTTTCCGCCGTGAGTTGCCGTGGTTCGTCCATCCGATGATGCGGATCTGTTTCCCCCTTTAAGATATTTCCTCTGCTCGGACATTAAACTTCAGCCCTGCATAACAACTTTAAATTAAAAAATATTCTCCAATGCCTCATTACGGCAAACGGTCACAGCCATCGGCCATCTGTACCTACAGAGTTAAACATCGTTGTTCCGCGTGGTGAATTAACACCAGCAGCAGGGAAGGAGGACCTACTTGGCTCTAGTGAGTGCAAGAACCGTGATGCGAATTGATGACGGGAAAGTGTTGATTAGATATTGTATAATTTACAACTTAGTGGAGGTCTGTTGTTGAAACTATCCATTTATTTTCCTCTGTCTGCTCTCGTGGTGTCATTTTGTCGCGTACGGCCGCCCACATACTACATTGTTTGTGCTCCCAACAAAACCTCACGCTCATCTGTCCTTTTTAGACTGTTATTTTCTTGTTTCAAATGGAACACAATTATTGCTGAGTATTTTAGAACCCACACCGCTAAAAGGGGCCCCGCTACCTCGGAAAAGCCCCGAGTCATCGCCAAGCGGCGGAAGTCGCGACCTGCGGGATGCGAGGATGCTTGAGGTATGCAGGTCATGACCTTGGTATTGCTTTCTACGAATCTACGGTGCAGTGGGTATTAGATGGAGAATGCTGGTGTGTAAAGGTAGAAATTGAAACGTTTTCCCCCAGTAGAGGGCGGCTCCCGTGGCGCACCTGACTAAAAATAACAGATCTCTTGTCCGTCTCTTTAGTTGCATGTTTTATCGGCTCAAAGTTGACATATTTTCCTGGCAACCAATTTCAAAGATAGCATCTCAATTCTCACCATGATCACTTGGCTGCAGGCGGCAAGATCCGACATCCGTAACCTGCTCCACCTCCTCACCGCAGCCACTGTCAATACGCGGCCGGCACCTTGCAGTCTCTTGAAACGGGAGAGCCGGACATTTCTGAGAAGTGATAAGACCGACTGTGTCTGCACTCGGTGCCCTCGATGTTGCTTTGTTATCTCCACATAATTATAGCAATGGAATCTGTTCCCAAGTATGTGGAGGAAAGGGAGGTGAAATGCAGAGCTTGTTGATGGTTAGATTAAAGGGAACTCCCAGCCGCTGAATACATCTTTTTAGGACTAAACATTGCATGTTTTATCTGAACCAGCAACGTGAAGATCGGCTGCGTTTTGACAGTTTCAATAACCCCAGCGTCCGTGCGGCGGCTGAGAGGGGGCAGGAGCTTGCTATTGTACGTGCCTGTCGAGGCAGAGCAGGAAGCTCGGGTTTCGGTCTGTGCGAAACTCAAATGCTCTCGGAAGAATAGGCTCTGGATTTGAAATGGTGGTGAACTGAAAAGGACCCTCCTGTGTCTCTGTCTCTGTGTCTCTGTCTGTCTCTTGTGTCTCCTCACGCGCACGGCCTCCACATTCCCGCTGAACATCAGAAATTCTAAACGTCCTTTCGGGCCACGGTCGCGCTGCCCGGCCCGGGAACGGCGGGCAGCCGGCACGCGGGGCACCAGGAGCTAGAAATCACCGTAAACGGAGAGTTAGCGCGTGTGTCCGGAGACGGATCGGCGTGATGGGTGTAAAAGCTCTGCCGAAACAAGGCGACTCCTGCACCGGGGCCATTGTGTGCCTGGTAGCGTGCGAGCGGAGTAATGCTAACAAGGTGCTTCGGGGCCACGCGATGGCCTCTTTAGCAAAAGAATGTTTTTCGGGGCAATTAGCTTGGGTGGTTAGGCGTGAAATAGAGTCAGTACGGAGACGTCCCTACCGAGGCAGGGCGACCGCTCATTGTAACTGTAAGCACTTTAGTCCTCCGCACGAGGTTTCACCTTGGAGGAAACACACTTTGCTTTCTTGGAGAGAGCTTAATAAGAAGACTGATGTCACTGTCAGGCCTCCATGGTTTAAAGTTGAAGCTACTGTGGGCAGTCAACCAACTGGCCTGACCTTATTACCCAGTGTACCAAACGGTTTATTTAAAACATTGTATAAGTCCTTAAATAAAGGGTCATTGTGCAGTAAAACAATGTGTGTGCGCCATCCCACTAATTTGCCACCTTGCCTTTCAGTTATTACTGTTTAAAATAGAAAATATAGCAAAAATGACTTTAATCTCGTCTAAGGGCGGCTTCCTTCTGTTGCGGGTGAATAGATGAGTCTAAACGGCGTCTGCTCGGGGGGGGGGGATGTTTAGGTCAGTGCTTTCCGACGCTTATGAATAAAACTTTATTGCCATGGAAATGGAAGAACGCTGCATGCTTCCTTCAGCCTCTGAAAGGTTCCCAGATTCTTTTGTTGCACTGCCACAAAATACAGCGCGAGTTTTCACTGACAGTGATGGAAGCTGAACCACGGCGGGTCTCCGTGTGTGTGACAGCGCCGTGTTTCATGGGTGGCCTCCTCTGTGCTGCAGGGCCCCGGTGGAGCTGAGGAGGTGCTGTTTCCTGACCCGTCGCAGTCCGAGCAGCTCAGAATCCAGCACAGCTTTGTCCAGGAACATTTCCAGGCACAGTACAAGTGAGTGTCCTCTCCCGACATACCACACGCACACACACACACACACACACACACACACACACACACACACACAGGCCTGCCAGGAAGGCAATCCACAAATATGTCCACAACAAACTTAAAGGCCTCTTAAGTCTTGTGAAGATGCCCTGGCGTAATAAAGACTGTTTGCTAAACTACATAACTTTGCAACAATAAAACAACGGGGCTCTCAAACTTGGGATTGGCGTATTTTTTTTTACCGTTAGCCGGGCCAAAAACACCACTCACATTAGTCAAATTTAACAATGTGGTGCTTTGTTAGGCTCAATTTCTGTAACCAGCGTTGCATTAAAGCACGGTGCAATTAGCGTGCTAGCGAGCTAACAAGTGGACATCTGGCTACTTGATGAGCTTGCAAATTGGCCGAAGCTTTTAGTGACACACTGATTACACTTTACTGCCGTGTGTTGTCACCTTAACAACTATTCACAATTCCCATTTTATCAAATCACCACAGAAAGCCGGCCAAAGGCCGCACTATTCCTATTCTATCCCCCTCTTTATAGAAAGATGTAAACATACTTTGGACAAATACAAGCAATAAAGCAGTAGTCTAATCGTCTTATAATAGAATGAAAAATAACATTATACACTTACTGGCTGTACCGCACCAGGCCGATGTTGTTTCTCTGTTTATTACTCTATTCTCTATTTTGCCGTTGATCATCAGCTACTGACGACACTGACTTGTTGTCTGAGACGGACTTGATCTGCTGCTGCGTACTTTATTCTGCATGAACAGCTGAAAGGAAAGGGCAGCGTGGTGATTGTTAAAGAAACAAAAGGAAACCGTGAATGCTGAATGACGAGCAATGACAAAGGGTCGATTCCCGGAACTAACAGCCGCTGCCCCAGTGCGACAAAGAGCCCCGATGCTTGTTTATCCAAAGTTTATCCGTATGATGCGCATTCCACGTACTATATAAGCCAGTGTGACTGTCATTTCCTACAGTCATCAGGTGCTCTGAATGTTCCCATGAGAAAGGTATCAGGCTGAGCAGCGACTGTCATGCGTCATGTATTTGGTCATTAAGATGCTGCATCCAGACAGATGAGTGGCTGGAATGTAATCTTCTAATCCCCCCCTGCTGTGTAACAACATTTCGAATGCAGCTGGATCTTTGTGACTCCCGTCAGTGGTCCTCGAGTTGAAGAGAGCCAGTCAGTTTTCTTTACATGAACTGTACACCTGTCAGCTGTGGCCCACTGGGGGAGAAGTGTCATTCACATGTCGAGATGACCCACTCAGCTGTGTGCCGGTTCTGGTCCAAGAAAACATTAGCAAGTTTGCACTGCAGATTTATTGCTGTCATGTAAAAATAGATATTTTCTCAGGGATGTTTTGGGGTGTATCTTCTGTCTCCAGCTCTTGTCTCCATTCATTAACCTCTGTTGATTTTACAGCTCTTCAAGCTGATCTATGTTGGATTAATACCTTTTTTCAAGTAGTCCCTCTGGTTTGTAGCTACCAAATTTGGCATCTCCGTGTGACTGGCCAATAATGCATCTGGTAGAGCGTGGCCGGTCTCTTAATTGCCGGCCTCCCTGTCAAATGTCTCAGCCGTGACAGCGCGGGTGTGTCCTAGACAGTAAGCAGCACTCGCTACCCGGGGACACTGTGCTTGTCTTTGGCTGGAACAGGGAACATCTACACGAAGCACAAACTTTACAGAGGGACATATACAGCCAGCGTACCGTCAGAGTGCCTCTTAACAAAGCCAACGAGCATGCATCGCAGGGCTGAGAGTGTTTGAATGGAGATGAATGCCTTGCTACTGCTGGAATTGGTCTTTGAACAAATACTTCCTGACTCCCGAGGCCCCACCGTGGTAGCACTTCACAGCGCAGCGTCCGATGCAATCCAACATCTAGAGTCGACAGACCGGAGGATAATCCTTGTAATGGCACGGTTTGTCACCTCTCCCATCATAAAAGCTCAAACAACTTGCATCTCCGTCCGAGCAAGCCAAGCCAAGACTTGTTGGACCTTAATTTATGTTTTCTGTCGTCAGACTCCGGAGCCCATCCACAGATCTCACCTGTTACGTACTTCTCCACCGTCTCTGACCAACGAAGCAAATCTTAAATCACACGCGGGACCGGGATCGCGGTGTGTACTCGGCCCGAGACTGCAGCGAAAGTGTCTTTCTGTCGCGGGCAGCCGAGCATTTCAGATTACAAACGCGGTGCAGTTTCAGCGCGGCTCGTCTTACCTCCGTGCCACCTTCTCCCAGAGGTCCTCTCGATCATTACATTATCTCTACTGGTGGATTTGTTATTGGTTAACTGGAGTTTGCAGGGGCAGTGATGGGTCTGTTCATGATGTGCTTGTTAGTGTTTGTGCCCCTTTCCTATCTCGGAACATTAGTGTGGTGAATAAACTGGAAGAAGAGAAGAATAAGCTGCCAGTCTATTTAATTTGTACCTAGTGAGAAAAGTATCGCCTCTCTCCAATTACATATAGACACCTGCGTTACTCGGGAAAATGCAAAGCTCCAGCAGTGTGCTGAAGTGCAAAGCATGAAGCTCTGGCTCTCTTCAGCCCGGCTGCATCCCAGACAGCGGCATACAAACCTCTCAACCTTTTTGCGCGCTTCCTCCATTAGAGCATCACCCGAATATCACCTCCCCCCCGGTGCTCCTTTTCTCTCTTTAAGTGTTTTAGAGCGGTGCCGGCCACATCTATGCTTTTTTGCAAAGTGTGATTCGTATGCACGGAGTGCAGCAACCCTCACTGTTTCCTGGCGAGAACCAGACATCCGTAGGGCAGCCATTCGGCTCTGCCAACAGGGAGAGATCCACTAAGAGCCAGTGTCAGCTGGGGCTGCTTGAACAGAGCTTTATTTATTATCCCCCCCTCACCTCCCCCTCGCCGGGGCCGTCAGGTGCCGTCCAATAAGGGGAAAACACATTTCAACAGTTCATCTGTGGGTCTGATGGCGCGTACGTAGGAGGCCCCGTGACGGTTGTAGAGAACGCAGGAGTTACGAGACAATGTTAATATGTTTATGATTTAGGTGAGATGGACGTCTCCCCCGGTTCGCGCACTCTGCTGCTGTTGGGTTGTGCTTCACACGGGTCTATTTTCAGTTTATGTGCAGCACCGAGCTTTCAGTAGTGTCACAGTGGAGAATCAAACCTGTCATTATGAACGTTTTTCACTGCTATAATTTAGAGAAGTGACGTTAGCTCATCATGAGCCGTAAATAAATGTTTACCCCTAGATGTTTAGTTTACAGTATTCTATTCAAATCCATTGACGGTGCTGTGTTCTCAATGACTTTGTGCTTTCTTTTAGGTGTAACGTGCGTTGAGAACTTGATATACTCAAACAGACGCGCTGCTTTCAGCTTCCTGATCCCTGGGATACAGTCACTCCGTCACTCCGTCATAACAAACACCGGCAGAGTTTTAAGGACGGGACCGGAATATAACAAGCGTGTCTTACTCAGAGTTGATTGAGTTTATTTCGTTCAGTTGTCAACCAAATCACATTTTTTATTCCCTTTTTGCATTAAATGATGAACTGTTGATATTCAGGCCGGTCGGGCCATTATTCATCACACCTACTTCTTTCAAATTAGTAGAGCTGCTACACAATCTTTCTATTTGCAGATATACTCTTTGGGTTATAAGTACCTCAGTTTGGTTATCACTGCTTTTATATATCGCCTTATTTAAATTAGTGGACAGAATATTTACAGTCTTTGCACACTGATGATTCTCAGTCATGTAATTAAAGAGGTTGATGGAAGCCCCCTATTCAAGATTCACTTAATTGTTGAGTATTTACAGAAAGTCTTATTCAGGAAATCCGGCGCGGATTTACTCCAAATGAGGGACAAAAGATTTAATTAAGTTTCAGGTCCGTTTACTAAATCACATCCAGCCATCAGTCCATTAGCTTCTGTGAGCTCTCTGACTCATTGTTGAGATAATTGGCAAACTGTAATACGTCCCCCTGTGAACCCGAGTGGGATTCATTGAAAGGGGTCCATGAACAAAGGGGCCGGATGGAAAACTGTTGTAAGAAGAAATCGCGCATCTGGCCAGTGTTCATCCAGGTGCGGAGGAAGAAAGGCCATCGCTTAGCAAAGCTCCGCACTTGTCGGCTGCGCCGTCAGCGCAACGGCCGCGGAGCAAGCGCTGGCGGGAGTGATGCAACAAGATGGAAACCGCTTCGGCTTGTTTCCCGTCACACCCCGGGGGGCTTTTTCTGCTGCGTGCCACCCCGCCCGCTCGTCTCTCTCTCTCGATCCTCACCGGTTGCATCACTCACCCCGCTCCGTTCTCACAATCAGATCAAGAGGTTCTGCGTCGCTCACTTGGGTAACACGATTAGACGGGCTCCTCTCCTGCTACACTAAATCAGGAGGAGGACTTTGTGGTCGGTTTGTAAAGGCTAATGTAAATGTGTGTGCTTCCTTTTCCTCCAGATCTTCGCTGACATGCCCCCACTGCATGAAGCAGAGCAACACCTTCGACCCCTTCCTGTGCATCTCGCTCCCAATTCCTCTGCGCCAGACCAGGTAAACACAACCGGTTTTAACCCACAGATCGGCGCCTGAAATCCCGACGCGTGGCTGGTGGTCAGTTCTGAGGATCAACGTCTCTCAGATATCGGAGTCCACTCAGCAGCCAGTTAGCAAAACTGTAATTAGTTTTTCAACCTACGGCTTTCTGAATGAATTAGACCAACAGCATGAAACATTTTAAGTGGGGCGGGTTGGCAGACACAGAGACGTAGATTTACCGTACGGATGAGAGAACAGTGTCATTTCGAGGAAAAGGAAAAGTGCAACGATTCTTTAAACGTTTAAAGAAGGGTTGCATTAGGAAAACCTGGACAACAGCCAGCTGTGTACATGCCCTACAGACAGTAGGAGCTCTGGTATTAGGATGGAGAAGCTGATACTGATGTAAAACCCTCTCCGCATTGAGGCAGATTGAACTTAGCATCACATCAGCCTCCCTGTCGCCAACAGGAAAGCCTGACATTTTCTTCTTCTGCAGGTATCTGCACATCGTTTAGTCTGACCACTAGTGCTTGTGTTGACTAAACTAAATTCCACTATTATCCATCCATCTCTCCGTTTAAAACTGAGTGGAAATGTAGTTGTCTCCGGCCAGAAGTGCTGTATCAGATTGGTTCACTAAAGCTCACTGATTGTGAGCTCTAAGCCACGAAATAGGCCGGCACACTTCAAATGTTGCACAGATTTGAAGAGGGTAGCTCTTATTTCCTTTGTGCTAAGCTAAGTATGCAGTCAAGGGGCTTCCGTCCCCCCACATTTACAAACTAGAATAGAGGAAAGAGGAGTGATAACAGACCTCAGCGGTGCTGCTCGGTCTCTTATTCACATACTCCACCTGGAACACACGGAACAGCCCCATCCATCTCATTCTTGCCGTGAAAGCAAATACATTTTGTAGTGAAACCACAAATCTAAACATAGGTATTTGTCAGGGCTTTGTTAGCTAAGATATACCTTTTTAAATGAGCACAGCACCTGCAGGTTCTCGTTCCTGTGGGCGACTCACAGAGGTGTGCTGATAACTATTTTGAGCTTGGCCACGGTTTCTGCGCGCTAGTTATTTCCTTCCTGTTACTTTTCAGAATTGAAAGAAGTCACACAAGTTCAGCCAGCATCCCTTCTAATTTTAGAGAAAAAGTTTTGAGGAGCTTTTGTTGTGACAGCGAGCCGAGAGTCGAGAGCATTTAGTTGCCGTCCTCTCTTCTCGCTGTGTGGCAGACGGGGCGAGAGAAAACACTTCTGAGGGATGAAACGAGAAAGGAGCAGATGGATTGTCTTTGGAAGCACTTTTTTAATGCATCTCTCTGTGTGAAGAGTTCAGCTCGCTCGCTGCCAGATCATGTCTGTGAGCCGCAAACGCATATTGTTTGCTGGCAAACTTTTCCTTTTCCCGGCCGTCCGTCTGCTCTTTGCATGCCGGGTGGCTTTGTGTACATTTGATGCAACGCCTGCTGTGTGACCATGACCATTAATCAAATAAGCGAACGCGTCAGGCCGGTGCATATCTATAGGCTCTTTGTAAGATGGGGGCAAACTAATCAAGAAAAATTGCATCTCAAATGTATACAAGGACCAACAGTACCCCCTCTCCTCCGCAGAGCGTCTCAGCAGATGGTTTTGTCCACGCGGAGAATGTAATTGGGATAACTTGTGGATACCTCGTTGAGTTTAGGCTTGATTAGTGCAGCCACTTACTCAAATGACTTTATTCTGTTTTGCACACAAATCAAAGGCGTAAACATGTTGCTGTCAGATTTAACACATTGTGCCTGACAACAACTGGTAAAACTACAAATGTCCAGTGTTATACATCTTTAAACTAGTCCCAGAATAACTTCAATAATTTTCTGCTAGTTTATAAATCAATTTAGGTTCCCAACACCAAGATGGTGGACTGGTATCAGGTCTCATTCAGTACAGCACAAATTATAACTACCACAACAAATGTACATACTTTATAACCATAAACTATGTTCAGTGCTCCCAATACAATGCACTGATACATGAAGAGTGTGTGAAGTGTTGAAATTGCATTTTTTTATTTGGTAAAAACCCTTCAAAACCACCCAGAGCAAATAAAGCCGAGGTTAGTTTTTATTCTTTTTTGGAATCACAACATGCAATAGATCGTGTGTACAGAATTCACCAACATCATCATATTACAGTACCAATATTCGTTTTGACGTTTTATCTGAATGGATCCGGGTTTTGTCTCCAAACAAGCAGGACGTGATCTCCCTCATTAGCTTTATTCCTTAGCGTGCAGTGAATCCTCATCCCTCGCAGCCTCATTACACCAGGCTCTCGACCTCGCCAGATGACTTCGCTCAACCTTTTCTTATTCATAGACTCATTTCTCCGGGGTTTTTTTCTTTTAATTTGGAACTTTCAGGGGCATTGTTTGTGCACATGTTCTTCATTTCTCAGTTCTTCATTTCCTTTTTTTTCTTTTTCTTTCCTTCAAGTTTAGGCCATACATTTCTCCAAATGATATTTCTGGGCCGTGCTTTTCTATTTCTCTACAGACTTCCACAGGTACCTGAAAGGGCTCCTCTGTTTCTCCTCAGTGTGCTGTTATTCACAAAAGCCATTATGTCCCGGCGCCCTGCTCATGTCAGCGCTCCCTCTGGAGAGGTCAGCGCCAAGCGCTCCCTGTTTTTAAAAATGCAATAGAGATTCCATTATTTGGCGCACATAAAAATAAGTCATAATGATCTATTATTAATGTTAAAGTGTATTGATTTATTCATGAAAGTCTTCTTTTGTCCCTTCCCGGGCCGTAGAGGAGGCTGCAGTAGAAATGGCCCAGAAACGTAACTGGAGGTTGTTCTAATCCGCACCGTCCCTGATTGTGTTTTTTCCGTTCGGTGGCAGGTCGCTGTGTGTGATTCTGGTGTTCAGCACCAAAGGTCAGAGGTACCTGCGGGTCGGGCTGGCCGTGCCTCTGTTTGGCTCCGTGGCCTTCCTGAGGAGGATGGCGGCTGACGAGGGGAAAATTTCCCCAGACCAGGTACGTAAATACTGAACCGGCGACTTTAACGGAGCACCGCGGCGCTCTGTGGCTTGAACATCAGTGTGACGCCAGTGACTCGTCAATCTTATTCTGACCTTTTCCTGGTTACATTTTTCTCACTAATGCAATAGATGGCGTTACATAAAGTGGGTTCAAAGTTCCCTCCCAGAGCATTATGCGGTTTTTGAAACTTTGCCAGTAACGTGTGTGTGTGTGTGTGTGTGCGTGTGTGTGTGTGTGTGTGCGTGTGCGTGCGTGTGTGTGTGTGTGTGTGTGTCTCCAGGTGATCCTGACGGAGGTTTACTCCACAGGCTTCCAGCGCTCCTTCTTCGATGAGGAGGATCTGACCAGCATAGCTGAGAATGATGTCATCTATGCCTTCCAGGCTCCGCCCCTCTACATCAGAGGAGGCTCGGCACGGATCTCAGGTATATAGTGGTACCATTTGAGGAGAACTAGTTTGTGGTGCTACTTAAATGTTTTCCCCTACATTGATGGGAATTTACAGATCTGGAAGCAAACACAAACTCATTCATTTCTTTTGCTTAATGAAACCCTCAGCGAACGCACGTTACTGCAGAGGAGCCTTGGAGAGCACACCGAGAGCTCTGCAAATCACATCTCCCGTTGTGCACATCAGATTTATGTCTTTATTTTTCTGTTGCCTCGCTGCGTACTATGCGCTCGTTTCTCGCTCTGTGGTGTAAACGATCCGGTTCCCCTCTTCTGTTGTCCTGCCTCAAGTGCACTCCCAGCACGGTGTCACCGCCGCTGCTGCACGTGGAAATATATGACTTATAGTGCTTTAATTATGTCGCTTAATGGCCGCACAGTGCTCCCTCCCCCCCCCCACAGACATTCTGGTGGTCACAGACGGGATCCCCCGGGTTCACACGGGCTCAGCCTGCAGGGGCTGATATGGAGACTCAACACTTTACTGTGCAATGAAGATTATGTCTTTCACATTGACACGTTTTCCCTGTGAGAATACATGGAATAAGATATTTGTATCTTTTAAAAGTACATTCACACAGGGGATGTTCTTGTTTGCTCCTGATCTTAAGAGCCAATGCTCACAGAAGCAACAATAGCACCTTTTTCCCTGATGCACAGTATTTCCAATGATCCGCGATGCACCACTACGGGTTCTCGCTACTTGGCTCAATGCGCCCCCGGATGTGCAACTGGGAAACATGTTTGGTGCAGCAGTGTAGTTTTCCGCATCGAAACAGCTTGAATACAATGTACCAGGAACGGGCTGTGATGGAGAGAAAAGACTAAAAGTTGTCCTGAAAAACAAAAACATCCCAGGAATTTTAGAAGGGTTATAGTGTTTCTTTAAAGCAGAAGCGCTTTTAGGTAACATCCACCCACTGAACACTGCATCGCTTTGCATGACCTCCATTATTTGTTTTCCTGATGTAACGTTTTTGAGGCACAAACTCCATCAGTCAATATGCAATATCAAAAAGGATCATTAGCTTGTTTTGGTATCTGATTGAAGAGAACATTTTACTTTCCTGTTGATGAGTATCCCATCCGCCTCTAACAGATTATTAATGTGCAAAAAAGTATTTTCTGTTTCTGTTTAACCAAAGATATATTAAACAGCAAACACATATCACAACATCCTATTAAATGCCCCATCATTAAATGTTTTTAGTCCAACCACAACAGTGATCTGTAATGCTTTCAGGCTGTCTGGAGCAATTAAATGTGAGATCGTTATGCGTCTTCCGCAATTACCAAATCTAAAAGGCTTTTGATCCCTGAGAGACCCTTAATGAATTATCCATAAGTGCTGAAATGAAAGTCAAACTCTTGTCTTGTGGGTTAGAAATGAGACAGAATAACAAAGCTCAGTAATCTAAGCATTTTTTCCGTGGCGTGCTAACGCTGAGGTCATCCATGTGGATGATGTCCTCAGGCGTTACATTGAACCACATGTGGTGTGGCACATGCCGAGTCAACGCTTCTTGTGGGCAATTAAAGCAAATGACGATGCACGGTGGAATCTTGAGGGGAAACCCTGTTTCAATCGAGGTGTCTTTAAGACGGCCATTAGCGGTCAGCTGCCTTTTTGCTCGTGAGACCCTTGATTGTAATGCGCCGGCATCTATTGGGCGGGTTCGGCGGTAATCTACTCACACACTCGGCTGTGAATCCTCCTGATGTGAAGTGAGATCACAGGCGGAGTCCTGCACTCTTTGGGGTAATCGCTTGCATCATCCTCCTACCGCGGCACAATCACCGCCCCATTGCACGTTAAAGTCAGACGTCCTTCGTCTTGCGAGAACACGTTGGGTCACGGGCGTATTGACTGGGCAGCGACCACCCGGCGCCGGAGCAGTGCGAGACGCTCCGAGGTGTAATGACGCATGATTGGGGACGTCTATGCTGGGTAGCGCGCTTGGTAAAAATGGCTACGCCTGTTGCGTTAAACATGTTGAACCTCTTATAACATCCTAACCGCCTGATGTGTAATTCAACGTTATTATGAAGGGTGAGTTTTACGAAGCGTTTCCCAGGAGAGCGGCGCGCACTGAAAAACTGAAAAAGAAAGAAAGCTGCAACTATTGTGGTCTATAAGTAACCTGATCAGAGGAGGGATCGCGTTCCAGACCATAATAACCAAACAAACAAACGCCAAAACGCGTCCTCTCTGCTGCCTGTGACTGGCATGTCTTGTTAAGCCCACGTAGTTACTGTTGCCATGCGTGTCGAGCTGCACTGAACAATAGTGGCAGGTTAAACGGCCTAATTTTGAGTCATTTAAGACACAAGGAGACTTTGGGCGTCCAAACTATTACAAGATGAAAAGTTAACATCATCTCCATGAGCAAAGAAACGGACTGAGCATCCTCATTGGTGGATGATTCATGTAACATGAAAGTAAACCACAATCGTATCACGGCTCCGTTATCACGTTTGTTGCTACGGCGCCACTATGTTGGCGTGCTCGCGCCTGTGACTGTGCCACTCTGCCTTACAAGTGTTACAAACGTGTTTTAATTTGCCATTTGAGATTTAGATTATAGTCCCAATTTTGAAAGAAAAGTAACAACAAGCAAACCTGTGTTTTGTGTGGAGGGTGGATGAAGGAGTCTCACAGCCAGATGAAAGACGCCGTTTGGAAGTCTGGTCAGCTGACTCCTCCGTGAGGAGATCAAAGCGAGCAGAAAGGTGGGGGTTGACTCACCTGGCGACGTGATGGGGGCCCTCCTGCTGTTATGGGCTGTGACTTTTTTTGTCCGGTGTCTCTCACCAGCCTCTCTCATGGCGGCTCTTTGCCTCCTTGCTGCTCGCTTTCAGTCTCACTCTGGCGATTCTCGCCGTGTCAGCTGACCAAAAGGCTTTGGATAGTGCCATTACATCTCCAGCCATCCTTATTGTTTTTTGTGAACAGCATATCATTAACACGTCTTGTGAAATGGGATGTCACTGTTGATGTTATGAATTATTTAATACAATGATTTATTAGAGACGTTGACATGCTGGTGGAACAGCTGGCAGGTTGAGATTTGTAGCTGAATGCAACAGATAAAGAGGACAAAGACAAAAGGGAGGCCGCTGCTGTTTCTCCTGGATGTAAAAAAGGAGTTTTACAAATTTAAAACCAAGAACCAAACAATAGACTTTCATGAAGTGCTACTGAAGCGGAGAGTAGTCCTGCGGGGCTATATGGCAGCAGTGAGGAGAAAAGGCCTCCAATTAGCAATGAACAAAGCCATTCCTCACACTTTTGTCATGCTCTGGAAAGGCTACAAAGCCCCCTCAAATCTTTGAATTGGTCCAAGAGGCCCACACACATCACTCCCATTTCAGAAAACAGCCCCTTCCGGTTCAGACTGCAGGCTTCTTCTTGTCGAAGTGCACAGACATGCAGTGATGTTACATTACTTCTTCATGTCCCTATGTGGCGATCAAGTAATAGGGGTTGCCATTCAAAATAAATAATGTATAAACTCTCAAAGCTCACACCTTCCATTTCTTTGAGATTTGACGCTGCGCTGACTAAACAACGTTGTTGTGCTGGGTATCAGTGTCAGGGACGAGACTAATATGGCATCACAGGTCATTGGCCTTTGCTGTAAAATACTCACTTGAGATTCTTGAAGCTCAGCTCTGCTGCACACAGCCAACAAGGCCGGTCTCCTGTCCGTCCATCGCCCACTTTTTATTTAATGCGATCATCACTGTCGGACCGGTCTTGCGGTAAATGCTAAACGGACTGGACTTGTATCTCTTTTCTAGCCTTCCGACCCCTCAAAGCACTGTAACGCTGCACGCCATCGTTTCATCATTTCATTTCACCCGTTCATACACTGTTGAGCGGCGCTACGACAGACACCTGCCCGCCAGTTACCAACATTCAAACCATTCACACGCCGCAGTCACAGCTACGAGAGCAAATTTGGGCTTAAGTGGACGTGGACACCAGCGGAGTCGTGGATCAAAAGCGGCCGACCCTTCGACCGAAGGACGACCTCGCTCCCCGCTGAGCAACAGCCGGACGCAATTAACGCGTGAGCAACAACAGAGACCAGCATGAGGTTCAGGCACTTTTCCACCTCTGTCTCGGATGCCCTTACCACGATGGTTTGATTCCTCAAAGCGCTTCTGTTGAAGTCAAAGTCTGAATTCTAAATTACATTACGTCATTTAGCTGACGCTTTCATCCAAAGCGACTTACAATGAGCGCTGCACAGCTTCCTCTTTTGGTGGGAAGCAGATTTTTTTTCTTTTACAAAATGTTCTGCCTCTATCCGTGTTTCCATCCAGCTGTGTTTTAGCCTGTCAAAAACAACTACATCAACCGATAATGCCTCGGTTTTCTACTGTATATTATGAGTGCAGTCAGTGCCGCCCATGTGAACATTCTACCAGCTGAACATCAGCGTGTCAGCGTGTGCGTACATGCGGAGTTCAGCACCAGCTTGCCAATGAACTATCGCTCTGCATATAGATCAAATCTGATATCTGGCAATATTTAAATACTTGATGAGTAGAATGTGTTTTCTCCATCCTCCTGTCAAGATAAGTTGCCAATTTGTGCATTTGCTGCACAAATCCAGCCAACCCACTTGCTGCACTGCCATGTCCGGCCAGAAGAAGGAATCACGACTATTAAATAACTCACTTAGGAGCACAAATTCATATACACAGCGGTGACTATTGAATCACGTAATCTCATCTTTCCTGACTAACAATCCTCATTAGTCACATTCAGCCAATTATGTAGTGTGTTTACGTTAAATCTATTTTGAACTTGGCGACAGTCAGACGTGAGTCATGTATTTGTCCGGCCTGCTTCCAGGCTCACAGACCTTTAAATGTGGCTGTGCAGACAGCTAATGGGATTTGGGGTGTGGGGGGGTAGGGGGGGGTGCTGTAGCTGTGAGCAGAGTAGATCCCTTTAGGGGGCAGAGGTGTTTAATTATGGGCTTTCACGTTGTCTGGCTGTGTTTAGTCTGGCTCATCCTGTGTGTCTGTTTGACAACGAGAAAGCCCGATGCTGCAGAGCGACGAGCGGTTCGCCGGCTTCCTGCGGTGTCTCTGAATCAGTCAGAAGCTTTTTCTGTGAGATTAGGATCAACGGGAGGCTAAACATTGAATTTCATGTTGGTGTGTGTGTGTGTGTGTGTGTGTGTGTGTGTGTACCCGTTTGTGCCACTATGGCTGCAAGGTAATAGTCATTTCTAAAACACATCTACGGAATTGGAAACACACACACACACACACATCTCACACTCCCCTCATCAATCATCCAGGGAACAAGCTAAAAAAAACAAAAACACATTGACACGAGCCTTGAAAGAAATGTGTAGAAACGGGAGCGTTTTTGACGGCGAGCCATGAAAAGTGATTAAACGAGCGATGAGAGCTGCGTCTCCTCCCCGGTGTCCCCGTGTAAATCTCGGCGCGACAGGCCAGGAGGTGACCCCTGCGTTTTACTGCCGTTTCATGAACATGTATCGCCAGCCATTTAAAATGAGATTTACCCCCATAAATGATTCCCCACAGCTGTCAGAGGTCACAGCCCATGTAAAATACGGCACGTTATTTCATCGAGTTTCGCCACTTGCTCCAGTCGAGTGACATCGATACGTGAGACGCCGTGCGAGCCAACCAGCTCGCCCGGATTTTATAATGTCCCACTCCTGTGTGATGAGAGCGGGGGACGGGGGGGTGGAGGAGTGGTGCCGCTTGGCGCCCCACCAGGACGGGATGTGGAGCAGAAGCTGCATCCGATAATACCTCCTGCTGAGAGTGCAGGCGGCCGTCGCTCCATCTGCTCCCCAAATAGAAAGCTGCTGCCTCGCCACTTTATGCATCTCGATTCTCCTCCTCGCTGGAGGTGTCCAGTTTAACGGCCCCGGGAATTCAGTTTGTTTTCCTCTCAAGGAGAAAAGGTGAAGTGCCCGCTTCGTCTTTGACGCTTACCAAAAGAACTGCGGTTGTGCTCGTGGTCACATGTAAAAACGCCACGTCCGCTTCCCATGACTCATTTCGGCGGCTCCTTCCAGTTTTGTCCTCACACCTCCTCCCTGAACTTGTGCCGTGTTGCTCCTTCCCTGCCAGGATACCACCACAGCCTCCCGTCATCTCCGTACTGCACTGGTCCCGAGGGGCAGAGGCTTCCTTCGTCGGGGACGGTGTCCTCAGAGTTCCTCAACCAAGGCGTCCCCGTCAAGATTCTGCTGCTGGTGTGCAACGCCGCAGGCGGCGGCCAGCAGGCTGTCAGGTAATCGACCATCAAGTGACCCTTTGCGATACGCGACCGCCGCAGCGTAACGAGGCCTGTCGAGCTTTCAGTCACCGCTCATGTTGAAGTGATGAGGCTCTAATGTGGGCGACGCTCCGTTTGAATTGTGAGGAAAGGATAAAACTGTGTGTTTATTTGCTGCGAGCGTGTCCAACAAACCTGATTACCACGTGCAGAAAGTAAGCTGCCGTTATTTCCAAAGCCAAAAGGAACGTTAGTATCTAACATTATTTGGTTGTACAGGTAGCGCTCAATAAAATACCTGATCATCCACCAGAGATCAAAGTTTGAGGGATAGTGGAGGGTAGTTGTTTCTTTTCTGTAGTTATTTGCACTAAAAAGTTTTGAAAGGATTTGATCACAACAAATAGATGTTATAAAAACATGTTAGCACATTTTGTTATTGAAAGGCTTTTGTGATCTGCCTTGAAAAAGTGTCCTGTTTATACTGTAATCAAGGTATAAAGTCATCTGATCGTAATATAATCATCAATATCTGCAATTTGGCCTTTTTCAACATTGCCAACCCGACATTTGGATTTGGATTTACATGATTCTCAACAAAAGACCGTTTTCAACCACCCGAGCGTCACTTCGCACCGCGAAGCCACCGCCGATTCTAATCTGCTGTGGTCGGCTAAAACCTGAGAAGCCTGTTTTTGGTTCACTTCCGCGTGAAACCGGACCCCCAACGTTTCAACGATGAGCGCGTGAGTTCCATGCAGGAAATCAGCCCCCGCTTCCACTGGTCAACGCACATTTAACCAGGACTTCAGGGCCCAGCAAAACGCCATTTCCCGGCTCTTCTGAATTCACGGTCACTCGTTGAGGGTTTATTTTTTTTTCTTGGTTTCCGCGCCAACAGCTTCTCCGCGTGCCGCAGCTTCCGTCCGCAGTGTCTCATGTCAAGGTCACGTTAGCTCCCTGTTACAGAGAGGCCGTCTCATCTCACCGCGAGAAGAGTTCCCGAAACCCAACGGCCGAGGACTCTTGACATCTGGCACTAAGCAGAGATCAGACATCCGTCTCCTGACAGAGTCCAGAGGGATCAATATAGGTGAGCGTGCCAACGCGGCTGTGGGAAAGTCCAATCGCATCCACGTCCCGCTTTCTCCTTCAAACGCCTTCCCCTCGTTGATCAAACCGCCCGCCCGTCCCGCTCTCCTCGGGTGACAGCTGGAGGACTTGTGTGTGCCAAGAAAATGACATTGGAGTCCCGAGCTCATCTCTCGCTCTGGTTTCCTGTAGAATATCATCACACGCACATTTCTGAAAGTCAGCAAAGTGTGAAAGCTCAGAGATGTCATTGATTTGTGGAAACTGTGACACCAACAGAAAGGATTTCACCAAGTTTCACATGTAAGGTTTGCTGTTTTCACATTACACCTCGGGTGTATAGTTAACTATTCCTTATAACATTCGACTCGTTCCGTTTTGCTACTGATTCTCTGTCGGGTTAGACGGAAAGACAAAACTAATAATCGATTACAGAAGCTTTTGCTGTGAGCAGGCGGAGCTGCAGAATTGCTAACCCAATGTACATACACAGTATGTTCCTATATAAATAAACCATAACACCAGAGAGGGGAGTTGTTTTCTCTCTCCAGGTGATTCTGGACGTGTATTTGTCTCATCCCGTGTTGTGGTCGCTGCTACTCCTCTGCCACCACAGAATGTTAATAGTTACCATCCTGAACCCCAATCTGACCTAATTCACTCAGTGGTGCTCATATATGATCTAAAACAAATTGTGACTGAGGCTGTGTTTGATTCATACAAGTAAGCAATTAAAAAGACAAAATGGTGACTGCACAGATACAGCAAAGCTTTTCATCCAACACCCCTGATCACCGTGCAGTTTATTAGCACCCCATCGTCATTCCCTGTGTATGTGCATTTGTGTGTCTTTGTTGGTCTACATACATGCTCCCGTGGTCTCGTTCTAATAAATCTCAAGCATACAACGGAGGGCTGCCCTCAATTAGATGGGTGTTATGATGAATGTGTCATGTGATCTATCCTTTCAGAGGGATGCTCGTCCGTCTCCTACTCATCTATTTTCACTCATTATCTCTCCCCGTCGTTCCGTAGATATGCTGTAATGAGAATTCTGCTGTAGTGCCGATAAAGTTAATAAATGGTCATTTGCATTACAATGGGAGGAAGGGACGAGCGAGTCGGCCGGGGATAATGTGGAGCGGGTCCTTGCGTGCGAACTCATTTCCATTCCTTGTTGAAGGTTTGGACCTCCGTTCTTGATGAGGGAGGACCGATCCATCTCCTGGGACCAGCTGCAGCAGAGCATCCTCAGCAAGCTTTATTACCTGATGATCAATGGGGCTCAGGCGCAGGTACTGTGCACAGTTGATCATTTATCCCTGTGTGGAAATTCATTTTCAGGGGGGTTGTGTCAAAAGTGCCAGGAGCCGGTGGCTCACAATCCCGCACACTGACGCCTACGTGTCAAAGCAGCGGCCCGTTGATGCAGCGCCACGGAGACAGTTTGCCTACGAGGACAAAAGCAGGCCGCCAGCTGCAGCGCTGGATTTATTGTTCATTCTGTTTTGTATTGACTGCGTCTAAACCAGAAAACTCCAGAACTAAAGTTGCAGTGTAATAAGTTGGTGGAAAGTGTTTCCGTGGTGCTCGTAAAAACACCCGTTTACATTCTGCCCGCGTGGGGCGGGCTTGTTCTGAGGGTTGGGGACAAGGTTCCTTCCTGCTGCGCTGGCCGGGGCACCTGTAACGGGACGGGGTTTATTGGCCGGGGACGGAGACAGTAATCACATCGGTGAGTCATCGTGCAGGGGGAAAATGCATTTAATACATTGTGATGCTGGAGCTGTTTCCTCAAATCTAAAGTTAGCCAGCTTACCTGAGGCTACGGCATATTATATTAGGGTATATATATATATATATATATAGCTGTGTGTTAATGAGACCTGATCAGTTCAGAAGGTGAGTCATGGCACTTTTCCCTGCACGGCTGAAAAGACGCGCGCTCGCTTAGTTTACTCGCCACGGCTTTGTGTGACTCCGGTTCAACGCGAGGCGTCATGATAGAGGTGCAAACCGGTGGCTCGGATGCACCCCTGCTGTACACTGTTGAATCAATTACTCACTCCACTTAAGCCGAAGGGGACGCTTTCTCGCCAGTTTCTGCTCGCTGGCTGCTGGCGGCGCTGCAGCGGGCGGGTGGGCGGGCTCGCAGTGCATCACTCGGTGGTCTTTGACGAGAGCCAGCAGAGAGGCGGCGGACGAGGAGGAGATGAAGAGTCAGGTGCAACGTCTTCAGGGCTGTCTCCTTTGGGCCATCGATTCAAAGCGGGCTCCTTCAGTGTAATCATTTTACACGGAGCAGATGTTTGCTCTAAATCTTTTATTCATCTCCTCACTACCCGCGGTGTTCTTGCATCAACGAATCACACAAACAAGTGTATGTTTCCGTCGCTGTCTAATTTTAGATGCGGCGAATGTGCAATTGAAAAACAAAAGAGCAGGGCCTCCTCTGACAACTTTTCCCTGCTGCTGATACTTCATCTCAGCAACGGCTGGCTTGATGCTCGCCAGAGCAAGTGTAACTCAGTCTAAAGCCAGAGAGACAACTTTGTTCAGCTCATATTCGATCAACAGCGTGGAATAGTGACCTGACCAGCAGGCAGCTGGCTCGCAAACTAGCTTCTCTTCATGTTTCCTACTGGCCAGATGCAGACGCACAAAAGTTTACTGTCTGTTTGACTGCTATTCTGTTTTTATTTTGCCAATTGATGTGTGTTTCTAACAACGGTAAATCCCTCTACACACACACACGCACAAGGCTTAAACTCACCACATAGTGGATCACTGTTCTGTGCACACGTCATAATTAGAGATCTTTTGCTTTGTCAGGCTTTAATGGCACAAGCGTTAAGCACACTCAACACAAAAAGTGATCAAACCTGTTTGAAAGCGAGCCCGGGCATTTTGTCAGGGGGAAGCGTTTAAGAGACGGGTGCAGCCGCTGTACGTGTGCGGTCTTCTGACAGGCTTCATGCTGTCAGGAGAGCCTGACCAGACCTCAGATGCTCGTTTGTTCAGTTTTCACACACACACACAATGAGGTGTTTCCTCTTTTTTTTCTGATGGAAAAAGGAACCAGCAGCCAAAATCCCGAACACAAAGGGTTATTTGATCTCTCCTGAAGCGGAGCTATGAATGGAATCAGAGAATCAGTGTTTTGGGGCAAGACAATTCTGTATTTAACATGCGGACCTATCGATCTTTCTGTCTTTCTGCGCAGTCAGAAGCTCAAATCCAAACCATTTGGAAGGTGCTGAGATGTCTGCATTGTGTCTTAAAAGAATTCATACACGTGGTTTATGAAAGCGTGTTCAAGAAGTTGGCCGGACTCTTTGGGTGGTCTTCACGTCACAGGAAGCCCACGCAAATCTGTAATGAAAAGAGAACTTATTTGGGGTTTACACTTGTCATCCCGCCTCTTATTTTATTTTTCCACTTTTTGTTTTTCTTGCGGCACGTTGAAAGGGATCACGCGGAAAAAGTTGATGAGTTCCCTGGAAAAGCGCCACACGACCCCCGAGCGCCACGGGGGGCAGCTTGATACCCGCCGCGTGCGTCAACACACCGCTGAGCGGATGATAACACGGTGTTGGTTACGCGGCTCTGTTATTGGTTACAGCATCTGGCGGTTATTCATTCCGGCGGGTTTCGCGTGTTCGGCCTGTCGATGTTTTGCAGGAATGAGCTGTCCTCGTCCTCAGAGCGATCCTGCTGCGCGGAGCTTCTCCCACTCCGAGACTCCGAGTGGGTGTTTCAGTTTGAGTTCAGCCGGCAGCGTCAACACCTGATTTCACTGGAACAAGAGAAAATCTATTTCATTTCTGCAAAGCGCTGGTGAAGCTCCTCCAATCTAAGCAGATCTCAGAGTAATATAAGACGGCTTCAGCTGAGGACAAGAAGATATCAGAATAATATTTGTTTTCTTTCTTTTATCGGCTCGGCTTTCCAGACCTCTAGAGAGGTACGAGAGAGTAATCTCATGATCCGTGGGTTTATCATTGGCTTACTTTTCTGTAAAATAATACTTTGAATGCAAACAGAACGCTCTGCGTCCAGCTGTTACATGTGGATTCAAACTGAGAATATTAGGCCTGTTTCTCATGTTGGCCCACTTTGTTCTCCAACACTTCATGTGCCAAGGCTCAAGCCTTCCTCTGAACCTTCTCGATAGTCCGATCGAACACGATCCCCCGTCGCTTCCTTTGTTTGCGTTTCCCATTTCATCTGATGCTCGTGGTTTAAATGTTTGAAGTCATTCTTTGCTGCGGAAGGCACATTGTCTGGCACAGAAAACTAGGAAGGAAATCGTTGCTAAAATACACAAATGTAGTAGCCAATGTTCTTTTGCACACCCGTACAGGATTCATAACATCACTTGAGCCAACTTTTTAATGCTCTGAAGTCTCCAAACTGATTACGCTAAAGTACGGAGACACGGTGAAGTCTGCTCATCCTGCCAACGTAGACACGCCATTGTTTTTCAGCAGCATTTTGCACAAGGTGGTGGTGGTGAGTCACTGTGTGGCGGCAGCGCTCCCTTTAGACCTGAACCAGACGTGGTGTGAGGGTCCGAGGCTGCACCCGGGGCCCGGCGGTGCTTTGAGCCGCATGCTAACGTCAGCGTAATGACCGGCTCCTAATGACAACGTTAACATGCTGATGCAAAGCCGGTGTCATGAGCTTACGAGCTTAACTTTGGCTAATTAGCGCTGAGCATAAAGTTCTGCCGCGGCTGATGAGAGCGCCATCAGTCTGGCAGGATATTTGGTCATCACTCACAGTCTTGGACTAATTAAAGATCCTCCATGGAGATGACATCAGAAAGTGAAACCACGGAGGGTCAAACTAATTAATTATTAATATTAATAACAACCCCTGTTTAGTTAGTAGTACTGCTGTGATGTACTCAATGAAATAAGTCAAACGGTGTAGAATGTTTTTCTTCTTTCAGAACACCAGAGTGCTGTTCAACGTCCGCGTGGTGGGAGGATCGGCGTTTTACAGCTACCTGTCTCCTCAGGACGGGCGGCCTCTCTTCCACCCCGCTGTCGACAGGTGAGGACGTCGGAAGTTCATGAACCAGAAGAGTTCATCCTGCAGGAGGACTGATGTTTCTCACAAACACACACACACGTTTACTCAACATTTTCCAGCTCTGGATGTGTTAATTGATCTTTCACCAGAGCTCAAAGTACATTTATCATTTCTCTACTTGTTATTGGATTTTGTTCTGCACAGTTTTGGGCTGCTGATTGCGGAATCTTTCTCTGCAGCTTTAGGCTGTTACGCAAAGTACAAGTTAACAAGCATTCATGCAGTGAAAGGTGCCTGCAGGACAGGGAAAGGATTTTTCTGACACATTTCTGTCCGTGTGTCTCGAGCTGAGATGTAATCCTGCAGGTGCACCAGCAGCAGCGCGTCTGCCATCTGTCTGGACACTTCATTCTTGTATTAGACTGGAAACATTATTAGATTATTCCCAATGTGTTCTTATGTTGTGGAATTACTGCTCCATGATTGTTCCAAAATCTCCACGCTGAAGTGAACCAATGTTCCCAGGCGCTTTCAAATTTGATCTAATAATATAATCCATTTTAATGAAATTTGAAACTGCTCTAATCGAATCAAGTCTTTCTTGAGAAAACCGTAAGCAAGGCAGCGAGTTACTGGAGACATTTTGACACGAAGCAAATGGTACATGACCATTAAAGTCGTTATGTCCAGCACCTTTTGATGACACAGATGTGTCTGTAAATCACAAGAGTGCTTTGGCCGCATTGACGGAAATGTGCAGACACTCTGTCCCTTTCACAGAATTTGACACATGTGTGATTGCTTGCAAGGAGCGAGTTGCTGTTTCGAGGGGGGCATTTTGGGCACGGCCATTGAAGGGCTTCCATTTGTGTCGTTGCTAAGAGTTACTAAAAGCAGCTAATTTGTTGAGTGGCGCTTATGTGGCAAAAGCTATTCAGATAGTTTGAAACGCAAATGTGAAGCACACTGTATCCTCGAAACTAATGTAACAAAAGGGTTTAAACACTAAGGAGTCATTCAGAGATTCTCTGTCCTTGGGTCAACCCAACACAGCACCAACGTGATAATGTTTCCTCACAGCAAAGGAGATATTGACGTAGTCTATTGCTAACAACATGTCATTGTCACATGTCATTCATTCGGGTGGAGTTGTATTACTCTCACTGTTCGTCCTCATGACCTAATGGCTAAAAAACTAATGTCTGCTTCAGCTGCACGTTTTGGTTTGTACTAATCAACACATTTCAGAATGCTAAGCTAGCACGGTGATGAGCATAGTAAACATGGTACCTGTGTAATATCATTGTGAGACCACTGCTGTGACTAATAGCAGCTCCTGTAGAGTTGTTCTCAACAAATCAATACACAGTTTAGTGCAAACGGTGTGTTTGCATGCGTGATTTCTCTCTGCCGCAGTTTGAGGTTTGATTTGAAACATGTTTGAGACGCTCCTTGGAAGACTTCTATTGAGCTTTGCTTCATGTGCATTCCCTTGTTTTGTTGCAGCACCGAGTCAAATATATTTTTCACTCTTCGAAATAGTAATTTGCGTCAAGATTACAATTACTCAAGATCCACTTAATTGCTGTTTCTTGAGCTTTCAACCAATTCTCGTAGTGTGATCTGGACTGTGGGACGTGATGGAGAATCCAGCAAAGGAATTCTACAGCTGTGGGAACCAGGCTTTGTTATGAGGTCTACGACCAAAACAAAAGGACGTTGTTTATCTGTAAATGTTAACATTGTTTACCTCAAACATCTCCAGCTGAATCCTCTGTACACGATCTCCCAGCTACTCGTTCGCTCTCACGACAGTCATTGGTGACGCTGACACCTGGTGGTGAAGAAGCCTCATCACAAAGTGCACTCAAAGGGTTAGAATAAGGTCGTCCATGCACTCATTTTACCGTGCGGCTGATTTCAGAGATCTTGGTGCGAGTGGAAAGGGTAATGCCGGAGTGGTTTATGGACCTTGTGCGCTGTGTGACCTTTCACCTTTGTGTCTTTTAGAGCTCTGAAGCTCTGCTGCTCAGGAGGACCCCCGCATGTGAAGCTCATCATCGAGTGGGAGCACAGAATCAAAGACTGGTCAGGACGCTTCCTGTTACACACAGACATGAGTCTCTCGCTCCAACCTGACTTGCAACTGCAGTATCTAATCCTCGTTGTGTCCCGGGCCACAGCCTGTTCGGTAACATCCAGGAGGAGGTGGTGAAGGACGCGGACAGCGTGAGGAATCAGCAGCAGCATCACGTCCAACAGTACAGCTGCACGCTGGACGAGTGCTTCCAGCTCTACACCAAAGAGGAACAGGTAGTGCGTCCGTTGTCTTTTGATGACGTGGCAGGTTTCACACTTTTCATTAAACTAAAATATTGCAGGAAAAGTATTCCGGTATTGATATTTACACAAACAGATAGATACTATTTGAATGAAGAGATATTTAAGGCAGGTTGCATTTTATTCTCTATGGATGATGGCAAGTTGAAGTTTTGTCTACCACTGTGCGTCATTATGAGAAATTCAGGAACTGCAAATATAGTTTAGAAATCCATATGTTACTCGGTACAACTTGAATCCAAAAAACATTTCGGGTTATTAAGATCTGTGCAGTTGGAGGAAAATGTATATTCATCATGGAACACACCACTATATATGTGGCCCAGATGCACATTTTAAGTGATTAACAACCTTGTCGCAAAAATCACTATACACTAATTATTTATCAGCCCAATCACAGAACCGCCATGGACTTCTAACACTTTTACTACGTTCTGAAAAATGAATGAGGACCTACACAGCTAGGGAAGCATGTGTGTGTGTGATATATATATATATATATATATATATATATATATATATATATGCCAATGAATACAGTGTAGAATCAACCCTGTTTACAGTAAAAGAGCATATTTCAGTTTTCTTTCCCAACATGTAGCGGACTATAAGATTTCTGGGTTGGCCTTTTTTATATATATATCCTTTTTTTTCTGGCTGCTATTGTGCCTCTTGCGTGTGACTTGCTGCGATGCTGCTGCTGCCTTTCGTGACCACCTGGTGGCGCTGCAGGCTGATTAATTCATGTCGCCAATCAATATTATCATTTCTCTCACAAGCTGAGGGACATTAGCGGCCACTTTCTGGTACATTTGTGGGACTGCGGACAAAATAATTAGCTGTTCATCATTCTGTCCATTTGAGCCTTAAAAGATGGAGTGATACTATCATTATTATTGTATCTCGTCCTTCTATTCATGTTTCCAGTCCTTTTAGTTAACACACATTATTCACATTGCTTCAACTCTTCTGCAAGAAAACTCTTTAGTCACGTCTCAGGATTAACAACTGAACCACATGATAATGGCATTACTTGTTTCTACAATGCAGAAGGGGAAATGAAACCACTGTCTGTGCAAAGTACGTACTGCTGGAAGAGATGAATGTGAAAGGTCTCCTGAGTTCAGTGTTGTATGTTTATGCATTTTTTTTATTTTCTCATGTCTTTTTAGCAAGTGCAGTCTATTACAACTGCTTTCACGATAGAGTTCTGATGGTGGACAACTTTCAGTCAGAAGACAGCACATTCCTTTTTGACGGTTGTGGTCGTTCGGTTGAGTCCACATCGATGTGAGAAAAGGGAACTCGCATAAAGAAATGTCACCAACCGCTGCTGTAAATAAATGGCCTTGTTGAGAGGCGAGAACTCATTGCTGCAGAGTAGTTAAAATAGCAACAGGAATATATGAAAAGTACTTTCAAAAGTAGTTGGCAACATATTTAGATCTGGTGCGTTCATTCAGATGCAATATATTAGTAATATTATATTCAACATATATTCTATAATTTACAGAAACCCAACATTCCCTCACTGGGTGGCAAGAAGAGGGAGAGAGGGAGACTTTTGATATCCTTTAATGAAACGTCTCACTTAAAAACCACCATGACGACAAAATCCAGCAAGAAATATTCTGATAATGGACCTTGATGAAAAATAAAATGAGCCCACCTCATCCGCCCGTCTACCCTCCACTCCTCTACTCATGCATTTCACATGCACATACCCACAGCTTCCACCAAATAAAATACCCATAACATAGAAAAACGCATTGGAGCCATACATAGCGAGGCCCAACTGAGAGAGAACCGCAGACCAACGGGCAGAGATATGGAAAGACTAGACAATTAGAGAGGAGTTCAGTCAAACAGTTTTTAAAGAATATAATTACATGCAAAAATAAATACTCATTGTCATTTATCTGGAGTTGGCGTAGACGAAGCACTGTCGAATTGATAAAAAGGTCCATCCCCTCGTCTCCCTCCCCCTCACCAGCTGGCCCCGGACGACGCCTGGAAGTGCCCCCACTGTAAGCAGCTGCAGCAGGGCATGGTGAAGATGAGCCTGTGGACGCTGCCGGACATCCTCATCCTCCACCTGAAGCGCTTCAGGCAGGTGGGGGAGCGGAGGACCAAGCTCACCACCTTCGTGCACTTCCCCCTGGCGGGCCTGGACATGGCGCCGCACATGGTGAGCCGCGGCCCCCATCAGCCCCCTCTCCAGCCGGGCTGGACTCAGCCCCGACGGCCTGACCTGGCTCCTCCCGACTTCCTGTACGACCTGTACGCTGTGTGCAACCACCACGGAGGAATGCACGGCGGCCATTACACAGGTCTGACTAACTGCCCCCTTCCCAGGAAAGACCTGCAGTAGAATTGTGTTAACATGGCAGCTACAAAGGGATTTTTACCATCAAGAAGAAATAAAAGTAAATAGAGACAGAAACTTAAAGGACATGTCAGAAGCGCTGCCATCCAAAGTGTTTCATGAGGGCAATACGCCTGAAATGAATCAGATTGAAAGATCTGGGCAACTTTATACCGAGTCTGAAAATACAACTAAGAGTCAACAGCAACTCTTAGTCAGTCAGTAACAGCTGAGTGCGCTGATGCTCGTTGGAACGCTGTTGCCAAATGGACATGAACGTTTCCTGGTACTTACTCCGGCCCATTGTCACTGTGGTTGCAGCCTTCTGTAGGAACTCTGTGGACGGCCAGTGGTACGGCTTTGACGACAGCAGTGCCGAGCCGGTGCCTGAAGCGGACGTGTGCACACGTGGAGCCTACATCCTCTTCTATCAGAGGAGGGACACCATCCCCCCCTGGTCCGCCAGTTCTTCAGTCACCGGTTGGTCCCTTTCAAATTGTCAACATGTGGAGAGCAGTCGGGGGTTAGAAGCCCGTTAGTACAGAAGTCATGGAGGTAGTGTGGGAGTATCTGCACAACTCGCACCATCATTATTCACAGGTTCACTAAACGTCTCCTTTTTATAGTTGTAGTTTACATCAGATTTGATGTGTTTAATTCATATTACAGTAATGGTTATAATATAATGATATCATTTCTAATGACACACAGACTATAATTCCAGCTGTAGTCACAATCACAGATATTATAATTTCTCCCGCTCGACGGGCTTTCCTGCTTAAATTCTTGACACCGAAATGAACACGGTTTCATTGTTTCATTGTTGCCTCTTAACAACGGACTCGCTGCCAGCAAAGGTCTACATTTCCTGAGCAGAACAGAAGCAGTGGCTTTGACGTAGGATGTTGACGGGCGGATGAAGAATTGGATTATATCCTGTTGTCCCGTTTCATTCAGCAGTGTGGATCTCACCGTGACTCTCGCTGTGCACAAAGCTTGTGTTCGGATGAACTAATATGCAAAACCCAATCGTCCCTCTTGTCTGCTTTCTGCAGGTTCCACCAGCTCGTCCGCCTCTGACCACTGGCTGGTCCGGCTGGCCGGGGGCAGTAAGAGGGGCAGCGTGGTGTCGGGGGGACCTGCACCTCCGGGTTCCATTCAGGTCCCAGAGTCTCCTGAGCTGCCAGTGTTTGGAGAGGACCCCCCCAGAACGGCAGAAACAAGTTGGTTTCTGGAGTAGTGTTCTAAAGAAAACACTACTTTGTGTCTCATGTGGAGTAGCTGTGGTAGAAAACGGTCTGTTTGTATTAGCAGAGACTTTTGTCTCTTGTGAAATGATATACATCTTAGATATACATTAACAGCAATAATGCATCATTTCCTGTGTAAAAACAATAGCAGACTCTACCAGTAACAAGAAAACGACTATATATAGAGGTAGTAACCGGATGCAAATACATTAAAAGACTATTGTTTAAATGTTTTTGATGAATATGGCATAAATTCAAAGGAGACTTGGGTGTCTTTTAACATATTGGGGTTGTGAAATTTTCGCCTCCCTTGAATAAGCAATAAGAACACCACATAATGGTAATTACGTAATTCCAAATGTTCGTTACACTAATCTAGAACATTTTGTCATTATTGTGAATGGGCAGTATTTGCATACATTTATACCAACACTGCTGACAAGGACAAATTGATGTTAAACACCATACAAGTATCCCTTGATAGTAGCAGTAATAGTCATAGTAGTTACGTGTGGTGTCTTCCCCTCTAGACGGGCTGGCGGCCGAGCCGTTTGTCCGTGGGACCCCGGGCAGGAGTGTGAGCATGAGATCGCCAACGAAGCCCAAGGAGACTCTGAGCAAAGTTCTGCCACTGCGCTGGTCCTTTGCCTCCAAGGACCGCGTTAGAAACCCAGCCCCGACCCGGCCGGGGGAGCTGGTGGAGTACCTGGAGTCTGGGCGCCGCCCCCGCTGCACCAAAGACCCTATAATAGCACTGGTGGGCCCCCCGCCACAGACGGGTGCCCCGGGAAGATCCTTTGAGGCGGCACACGACTGCAGCTCTCCCAGCGGCAGCAGCAGCCTCAGCTACAACGACAGGACCGGCTCCGACACTTGTTACTCCCCCAAAATACCGGAGGGGCAGAGCCGAGGTTGTGTCGCCAACCGGGATGACGGTTCCCTGAGGTACAGGTCATCCAAGAGAGCGAGGCCGGACCACGGCAGGAACCCGGACCTCCAGCTTCAGAGAGGGGCCCTCCTGATGGGTCACCTGAGCCACAGCGCACCTCCCAGCAGGGATTCCACGCTGAGAAGGACCAAGGTCCAGACGGGGGTCACTTTCAGGACGCAGAAAGACTCGTTACAGGCGGCCACTGAGCCCGGAGACAGGAAGGGGCCGAGGGCTCAGGAGGGCCGCAGCCACGACAGCCTCCTGTCTTTCTTCAGACCCGGTTTCATGAAGAAGGACATTTCCAGGTCACCGGTCAAGGGGCACGACCGGCGCGCCAACGGCCAGGGCCACCTGGAGAAACTGGCGAGCGGCCACTTGGCCAAACTGTCCCTCTCCAACGGAACGCTGACCGCGGCGAGCGGTGCCCTGGCGGGCTGCGACGGCCGCAACTGCAAAGGACAGCTGCTCAACGGGGGGGCCGGGGTTCACGAGGCGGCGGACATGACGCGCGCTCACAGCTCCAGCGACATCCAGGCGAGGCTGGATTTGACATTTCGCAGGTGCGCCTCCCTGCAGAGGAACGGAGACGTGGTGGCGCCCCCGGCCCGCCGCGTCCTGCTGTGCGACAAGCCGAGCTACGGCACTCTGCAGCGCACGCGCTACAGCACCGCGTCGCTGGGTAGGCACCTGTCCCTGCGTCCCTTTCATGCGCTACGAGACACCATTGTAAGAGAGTCTCCTTAGACCTCTGTTGAGAGTAATGCGGGGACTAAGTGGGAGGCAGTCAGTGGTTTATTGCTGTCATTAATGTGACTGACTACCATGTGACTGATGGCTTTGTGTTTTATTTTCAAGTGCCTCTGTGACGGCCCTGAGGGACACCAGGACCTCTACTGATTTCTACACTCTCCACCCATGGAGGCCCCCAGCAGGAGAAGTACATCCTACCCGCTCCCCTCTCATGTGCGGTTTGCAGTTCTTGCCTGCGTGTGTCTTAAAAGTAAATCTATGCAGAGTTGAATTTACAGAGGAGGAACACTGCTGTAAGGGGATTTTCTTCTTCCTGTTTTGTTTTGCGACGCTGTCTACTGGTAACCGGTTGTTTTGCTACAGCTGATGGTGATTTGGTAAATTGAGTCCTTTTATACATTCATAAAACCATCGTCTCTCACCCGAGCAAAATCATCAATCAACACTGCTAAACGTAACATCTGTAAACCAGCAGCTAAACAACACACACACATTTGCTTTGTCATTTACTATCATATTCACATTATAATACAAATGCACTTTCTTTTTGTTTTATTTTTGAATTCCATATTTTTCTACATGATCTGAGCATAACTGCCGAGTGACGTTGCTAATGGAGGAACATCTACATTACAGCAAGAAATGTCCATCTGGGTATCAGCTTATTCAATGTGTCTTTGCTCTGTAACCAGCAGAGAACTAGTAGTGGTCTGTGGAAGCTACAATAGAGGAAGATCATCTCCCTAAATAACACAAAACTAAAAAAAAGCCCTTCCTCTTGAAAACACTTGTTCCGTTGAATCAGCAGGTGAGCTTGTTCAGACCAAAAAGGAACACAGCTCGCTGAGGAATAGAAAACGGGCTCCTCTGCTGGAAACACGGGAGCCTCCGGTGAGGACAGATTTGAATTCTCCCTGATGAAGTGCCAACAATAACACGGCCGGCTTCAAAAACACAGCTCAGTTTTCTCTTTCAGCATCAAACAGAGGATTCAAATTGTGTGCACACACACACACACACACACACACACACACACACACACACACTGACACTCACACACACACACACACACAGATGAATTGTTCCTTTGCAGACAGAGATGTAATGAGTCCTACTGGCAGCCAAGCTCTGCCACATCCACACAGGGTGTAATAAAGTTACCGTGTGTATTTGATTCGCGGTCGTCAGCCGTCCTCGCTGTCTGTCACTGCAGATTACGAGAGAGAGTTTTACTTCACTGTAACTGTCATTTAACATCACTGTTTAACTACACTTTACCAAAAGGAAATGAAGGATGTTTCTGAGACATTGTTTGGGGAATATGGCTAGATTATATTTTATTAACTTTTTTAAAGGTCTACATTTTATACCTGTAATTTAAGAACCAGATGCAAAGTGTATGTTTCAGGACCCTCTACACAAGGTCAGACTAACACAAGCTGTAACTGGGGTTTGAATTGGACACGACACACAGAAGTCCTGGTACTGGACTTTCTATATTATCTGCTTCATGCACTGCAAGTTTTATGGATTGCATATTAAACACGGCTTTTCTCACAAATGGACCGAGTGCAGGCTGAATGATTTATCGCCACGGTGTCGTTCTGTTTGTTTTCTCTTCAGGATTCAAGGCTTCTTCTGAGCTGTTCTCCGCTAAATTCAAGCAGTGAGTTATGAGCCATGGGTGAAGGTCTGCATCTTAGTGTCCGAAATGATGAGACACACACACGAGACCTGCATCGAGGCTTCTCTGAGGTCTGCGCCTCAGTCTAGTTGATATAACTCACGCCAGTTGTACATCAGATCAGACGCTTCGTTCTACAGTAATGTTGCTTCACCCACTGTGACTACGCAGTATTTAAGTTCTACTAACAGAAGCCACTGAACATTTACCACACATACGTAAGGCTTAGTTATTCTACTTGCAACATGTACATTCTCTGCATTTGGCGATAGTAGAATTGGAGGGGGAATTTATTTTAGTGCACTGTTTACAAATCAGGCCCTGCTTATCGCCATCGGCAGCTATAATGAGAAGTGTTTTTAATGTGTGATGCCCGGTTGGTTGTGAGTGACACTTAATCTAATAATGATATGTCACAGTTAATCCGAAGCTATTGCACAGAATACATCTTGAGCATGCTAGTTTAATTTATTAAGACTATAATGCCAGCCAACCATCACCTGAGCCTCTCAACAAAGGGGGGGGGGTTAAAATAACATGTTTTATAATTCAACTGAGGTGACCTGCTCCGATGGTATCATCTGCTCTAACGAGGAGGACCTGGAAAGTAAGTGCGTTCTGTTATGAAACCGTTTTCCACTTACTGTGTCCCACATGTTGGTCCAACATGGCCCTTCACCTGTTATGGTTTTTATAAAAGGAGGCGGGAGGGTTGGGTTCGCACTGACATCTCCAGAGAAGCTTTTGGAGCAATCAAAACTTAAAGAGCAGAGATGTGCTTTATAGTAATCACCCATCGTTCACTGAGCTATCTAGCATATTGCTAAAATATTAATATTATAATAATTATTTTCAATCACACACAAATGCAATTAAGAAGTAAAGACCTTTAATAAATCAGAAATGCATTTTTATTATATCATCAGCCAAAGCTGATTGTACGTATATTTAATGTGATTTTGTGGAAAACGTTTTCCCACAAAAATGTTTCTATAGTTCTGTTAATACCGTATTAAAAAAAGAAAATGTAATTTGCAAAATAAGCTTACTCACGTTCTTACAGAGATTGGTGGAAGTGTTGAAGTGCTGTGTGTAAAGTCGCAGCTAAATGCTAATTAGCATAGCTAACTAGCTAACATGCGACACTAGCCTTTCCTACCAGCACCTCTCAAATGCACAAATGAATACAACATCTTCTTTGTTCAAGCCTTACAGCAGCATAAAGCTTCAACTAAGTTTTAGCGGGAAGGCAAATACATTTTCCAAAATACAGTGAATGTGGCAAATATGAAGTTACTACCAATAACCAATTGGCATAGCTAAGATTCAAAAAAGAATCGACCCCTCTAAACCTCACTTCAGTATCCAATTTATTTGATCCTTAAAGAGGATTAAGCTTCAACTAGCTCCTAGCGAGATGCAAACGTAAACTATTTCCCAAAATATGGTCAATTTGGCAGATATGTAGCTAGAGCTAGCCGCCAGTTAGCTTAGTGTAGCTAAGATTAGATTCACTGTTTGCACCGTATCTATACAACCTGCACCGAATACTCTTGGGAATGGGATATCTTAAAAGCCACAAGGATGAACTGATTCCATTTGGGGGGGTCAAAGGTCATGGTCATGGTGACCTTTTTGAAACCTGTTATTGTAAGAGGGATGTTGCCTGAGTCATTACTCCAGCGTCTGTCCAGTCTTTATTCCACCCTGAACTAGCCTTTATATTTACCCCACAGACATCGGGGGGCACTTTTGCTGTCTATTTGTTTGTTTTAGTAAAGTTGGAAACCTTGACATTGAATTAATATATTAATAATAAATAATTAAATCTGAAATTAAAACCAGTAGGTTTATTGGTTCATGAAGCTGGTTGGGGACAGCTTGTTTCTAAAACTAAAACGGATTATACTGGAGGAGCCGACAAAAAGGAAGCAGTGCATAATATCCTGAATCCTTCATTATGGAAATAAGATTTATGAAAATGGGAAACTGAATGTCATGCTTCACAGACGGTGGTGAATGAATGTTCAAACCAAAAGGGCCACGTAATGTTTTATGTCCTGACAAAGTTTATGGTGTGAAAGCCTATTGATTCTCTTTTGAATTTTCATTACACCAACCATCAAGGAAGTGAAACTTCAAGAAAGTGAAACATCATGTCACGATACCTAGGGTGGACATTTTGCAGTAGAAGATCCAGGTCATAACTAGGTGGGTGTCTAATTATTCATGCTGAAGGTTTCGGTCAGTACAGCCAAGCCTCTGCGGAACAAGTTAATGCTGTTTTCATGCTGCTTTTGCATCTCTACAGTTGTTTTGATTCTCCTTGTGTGCTTTCTGTTGTTTTCCAGGTCAATATGTAGTGACTTATAGTCCGTTGGTCCTTTTGCAGCTCTATGTAGTAATTCCGTGTCTGTTTGAAAAAGGTTTTGTGTTTTTTCACAGTGATTTGTCTGTGTATGTCACTTTTTTGTTGTTTTGCATCTTTTTTTGGTCACGTTAGTTCTTGCTGTAGTCGCTTAGTGTTGCTCCGGTCTTTGTGGTTATAGTAGAGCTTGATTTGTGACATGCTTTGCAACTCTTTGTGGTTGATTTCTATGCCATCATGGTCCTTTGACAAGAAGTATTAATGGTCACTTCAAACAGAGGCTCCATTCAGGATCCCGGGATACTCTTCTGCATTGGGGCCATCACTGCCTTGGGCCCTTGTGCTATGTTTCACACTCGTTATTATTCTTACCAGTCTTTATGTGCTGTGAACATGGAGGCTCAGCACAGGGAGGTCTCATGACTTCATGCCGTCTGTGGGAGAGAAACAGACATCACCATTCAAAGGTTTGTGGACACTCAGAGATAACGGGCAGAAAGTGAAGCTTTGGAAGCTAGAATTTGAATCACTTGACTCCGCATGAGCCATGGATGTTTGTCTTTAATTCTGTCAGAAGCATGCATCTTTATTGCTCGTGTGAAAGTTTAAACATTATATTTTATGGATTGATTTAATTCACAACAGCTTGTTATAAAACCAAGCATGCACTTAAAACACTTTAACGAGAGGATTTTCTATATATTGTTTCTTTTTCCACCCATATGTCGCTTATTGAAACTTTTATATCAGATATACAAAAAAACATAAATAGATACATCGATTATGTAAGAGGATATAACGTGAATTCCATGTAATGCCAGTTTTATTCCCCCCCCTCTGTTCTTCTCAAGGTGATGGGGTTACTTGGCGTTTATGATAGCAGAGAAGCAGAGTCCTCCCACTGTGGAAAGCTGAGAATAACAGTGTTTAAGTCAAAGAATTCTGCCATGACGGATGTTTCTGGTTGAAATGAAGCTGTAGCGTACATTCAGTCCTGTAGATAATAGTTGAATGGTTTATTCCTCATACATCTACGGATCACTCCTCCGTCATTGTTTGTGGAGATCACCTGGTCTCTTCTCTCCAATGAGCACAATGAAACAACGTGAGTGGTCGGGATTGTGAACAGTTATAGTGTTAAAATAAATTAAGCTTTGTTTGAAACCTCGTCGAGAACTCTTCACTCGTTTGCCTCGATGGCCTCTCAGGCATGTTAAGACTCTTTGGAAGTCCATCCCAAAAAGCATTGGGTGATCTTTCTCTAAACTAATATCAATAATAATAGGCTACTAATAACAATATTGATGGTTATAACACTTACACAAGTTATCCAACAATGTAACGTACAACTGGTGATGAGATAGTAAAAGGATGATACAATTATCATTTTTAAATGTAGTTGAAGTATTATATTACTTAAAGATATATCTCTATAGTCATGTCATGTACACACCGCTGTTACTCCTGTCCACCAGGAGGCAGCATGGCCTCGTGTTCACGTGTCTCTGTGGCGACGGAAATAAGGGTGAGAATTAAAAGCAGATGTCCAACAAACAAAAAAAGAAGAAAACTGAAAAAGACGAACTAATGTTGGTAAAAGTAGTGGCTTCTTTAGATGGATGGCAGCTAACACACACGCAAGGAAGAGACGTGTAAAACAGGCGCAGCTCGTTCGCCGTCAGCACAGTGACTGTATTTAGAATATGAATCCAGAATCTGTCCTTGATGTGATTAGTTTAGAAAGCTGGTGGTGTACAGTTTCACGATGCCCACTTTCTTTCTGATTGAAGCCATCAATCTGATAGCGCCAACCTTGTCCTGCCAAATGTCTTTATTTTCATCTTAACTCAATATTTAATATGGATTGTTTGTGTGTAATTGAATTATCTCAAGATAGATAGATATTCCATAGACAGATAGTTAGTCTGTAGATAAATAGACAGTTCATAGATAGATGAATGGATGACATGAAGAAGCTGCATGCTACTAATATGTAGTATGCCTCTATTAAGTAACTTAAAATAATCACATTAAATAATTCAAAGCGACCCAGCGCAGCGGTTGTGTGGCGGACTGACGGGGAGGAGCTCCAGTCACGACAGCGCCGTGGAAGGAAGCGGAAATCAGCGTCGCTACCCGTAAGCTAGCAGCTACAGGCTCCTCGGACGGGGTGGAAGCGACGCCGCGCGCGCACACACACACACACACTCACACACACCGTCCGTTGCCTCCGAAGAGGAAGCAGGGAGTGGGTAACTACACGACGGGGTTTCTGTTTGTCACGGGGACGGCGTCAAAAACGGAATATCTCGAGTGGTGAGTGTCCCCTTTGCGGGTTCCCTTCGCGTAAAAGTTGCGTGCTGTTTTCCTCCCACGGCGCAGGCTAACGGCGGCTGACGTTTAGTCAAGTTCAGTTGCGTTAGCCGGGCTAACTGCGCCGCTAAGCTAGCAGCAACAGCTCTCGCTACCAGAGGAGAAGAGGGGGGGGGGTGTTTTCTTCCCCTTTTTCACGTTTGCCAACGTGAAGCCAGCCCGTAAAGGCCCCGGGCTTTAACGAACACCGCCCGCTGGCTTTAAACGGTAAACGCCGGGTGGCCGAGCAGCTTCACCGTCCGGGCGAACTAACCCGGGGGGGAGTTCGGTATTCACACCCGCAGCGCAGTTATTGTTGTCCGGCCGTTAGCCGGCATGCTAGCCGCGTAGCGCAGGGCGCCGGCTGCTCGCTGGAACGGAATCGATCCTCCTCGCAAACCCGCGTGAAAACGGCGGATACCGCCTGTTAATACTACAAAAATGGCACATTGGTGTGCGTTGAAATCGGAACCAGCTTTGTCAGCGAAGAAACCGGAGCGGGTTATGAATCGGAGAGGGTCGCTGGAGGCTGCTGCCCTCCTCTCCCTTTCTTTGTCGTAACTATCGTCGCTCCTGTCACCGGAGGGGTCGAGGTGTTGACAGCGTGTGTGGCCGTAAACAACGACTCGCATCTCGGGGCTTAACCTGGCCGTTACCGACCGATGTCTCTCCTAGCAAAGAGTACCTTGTGTGTGCTGTGCAGCTCGCAGGTTAACCGATTATTGGTGACGAGACGAGACCCCCCCGGGTCCAAATAGCAAAATCAACAACTCACAATCTGAAAGTTTGCCTTTCTCTTTAGGATAGTTTGCCACACGCGTGTCCCTCTTTGTTTTGGCACCAGTTGAATGGCCTCGTTAGTGAGAACCCATCAGAGCTGCTCAACTTAATGAGATAACGTAGCCTCATCCATTTAACTCAGCAACCGTGGGTTTAGCCGGTGTATCACTGCCTGCTCTGCTTAAGTGGGCTACCGACTTATTCCTGGGTGTTTGGCTGCCGTGATCCTCTTTGGGAATGTCCATTAATTACAGTGAACAGACTACAACACCAGGATCGTACCTTTTCCACAAAGAGTCGCCAGATGTGGGGTCGAGGCTGTCCGCTTCATCACATCACACTGACTACGAAATAACTGTATCACGACTCCGATGAGTCGACTTGACAACAGTCGACAACATGAAGGAAACGTTACGTTCACATTTCAATGTAATCCTGAGAATCCGATCGGACCAAATTCATCATTAATTTGTATTCTTGCCACCTTAATTTCCTTATTCCGTTTATTCCATTGTATTCTTGTCCCACCCGGTTTATTTTTTGCAGGTACCATACTGTGACCTTTATGTGAGGTCCAAGCCCTAAAGGAGCGGGTCATAGACGGGAGGAGAGACTCGGAGGAAAGCATCTGGCCACACAAGCCCGGGATACGAGTTTTTATTTTTTAATTAAGCCCCTCCCCCCCACCCCCCCACAAGTCAACCACAGCCGAGAGGGTGTCACCATGGAGGCCATCGCCAAATACGATTTCACAGCTACTGCTGAAGATGAGCTTAGTTTCAAGCGTGGGGAAGTCCTCAAGGTAAGTGAAGTCAACCCGCTTCCGTCGCGGCCTGTGTTTATATAGTTAAATTAAACACAAAAAGAATGTCTGTAGCATGAAGCTACAGTGTTACGTGTGATCAGTATGTTTTATGTCATTTATACTTAACATGTTCATACACTTTCTCGCCAGGTGCGTCTGTCAAAAGTAAACACACAAACAAGAAAAAGAACAGGATACGTGCTGTGACCTAAAATCCCAGACATGATGTTACACACAACCATTACCTGCCAACGTGGCAACAGAACAGCGCAATGTTAGTCCTCGATGTTGTGGCTCATTGTGTGGTATTATTCTAATGGACCAATGCTTGTGTAAAAGGCCCAGTGATTTCTTTTCTTTTTTTTTATTCCATTATGAACCATCTGTAAAGTGCTCTCTGTTGAACCCCCAGCTCGTCCAGATCCTCGGGCATGAGAAGCTTATTCAAAGCCCCCATGCTTTCTGGTTGCCTGAAAAGCCTTTTTGTCATCCTGACCTTGATTAGATAGCCAAGATATTAGAAGCCATTTCCCCTGCGCAGTGGTACCTTTTAGATTTAACTGCAATCACCATGATCTCTCTGTCCGGCGTCACAGCGACGATGCGAGCGGAACCAAAAGGCAGAAAAACGCTTCATAGTTTATTCTGGAAATGTGTGTGTTGCTAAATAGAAGTGTAACGTTAAATATGGATATTGCGTGACTCGGGGATCTCTTTCTTCCTCCTTTGGTGTGATGGTCCTTCCTTAGTATTTATAAGTAAAAAAAGGAACGCTGCTCTTCAGCTTTTGGCTGACTGGCACACAAAGAATAATTAAGAAAAAACTAAATTCTCCAACGAAGCTTGTGCTGCAGCTGGTAATCAGGCCCTGTGCTTCTCTGTCCGTGTTGGCTGTTGTGTAGCTGATGGATGTAATATACTGTGTGTGTTTTTATTTATGTGCAGCTGTCCTGAATGAGTTGACTGTTCTATCAGGGATGAGTGCTGCTTTTTGCTGAATAAGAGATTTGAGCGGGGAGCTTTGGAAAGATTTCTTATCTCACCAGGGGGGCAGAGAGAGAGAGAGAGTGTGTGAGAAAGAGGAAGAGGGAGCGAGTCAGCTCTGGAAACACTGAGAGCTAAGTCTGAGTACTTATTAAATTTGCATGGTAGAAGAGGAAGCACTGTACTTTTCCCCTAATTTCCACAAGCAGTGGAAAAGCTCAAGCCAGATGGCAGAGTTCCACCCAAATGTAACGTTAATGGGAAATCCCACAAAATCTCCTCCCTAATTGACCGGGTTAATGGAGAGATGTGCCTATTGGTTCCCGCCTAATTAAGACTAAACTGCATTGTATTCTGTGACTTGTGTTTAATACGATCTTGTTTTTAAAAAACACTGATCTCAGTTTGTGTAGACAAGTGATTCATTAAGAAAATAATCAACCGATTAATCAAGAACAAAAATTAACACTAGTTGCAGCCCTAGACCAACAACGGATAACTCAAACTCAATTATTTGTCAGGATTATCTGATGAATGAAGCTGTACTTTTGGATTCAGCAAAAACAATGGAATCTCATTCATTTCGTAATTACCCAGACATACGGATCCTTTCCTCTTCTCTGCCGACCTCAACGGTTGCAGTTCATGTAAATGGGTGAAGACGTTGGGTATTTCACCCGGCAGCAGCCTGACACGCTGCAGGAGCACAGCTGTAAGAGCACATCTGTAAGAGCTACAGAAACAGCTCAAGTCATTTCTGGGCAGAGGCTGTGAAATGGGGAAGGAACGCCTCGAGCGCGGTGCACATCTCTCTTGAGCTCAATGGTTGGCTGCTCTGCCCACAGGACCTAGTTCGCTTTTTGAGACGGAATGAATTGGGCCCGATGTTTGTCGGACCCCCCTCCGCCCCGCCCCCCTGCCCCTCTTCTTTCATCCTGTTTTTGTTCCTCCTCACAGTAGTCATATGCACCAACCCCCCACTCCCCTCAGGTTAAGTTAAGAGAAACAGGATGGAACAAGCTCCTCTCACTCTAAGATATGCTCTGGCACAGGTTGACCCGAGCCACACCTTATTTAATGTGTAAAATATAAATATATATATATATATATATATATATATATATATATATATTAAGGTTCCGTGTTTGCTGACATAACCGCTGTCCAAAGAATAGTAATACAAAACTAAAGCTCCGTTTTGCGTCCCGTCCTGACTGGCGCAGCGTGCCTGTACACAAGGAGCAGTGGTACATCTCTAAAGAACACTTTTCCCCGGGCGCAGTGTGTTGCGATGGCAATACTAAACAGTTCTGCTCGCCGGACAAAGGGGCCCTCTCATGAGAGCGCAAGCCCGTGAACGTAGCGCTCTCTCTACGTCTCCCCCGTCGTGTCCGGTGTCACCGGGCGACAGTGGCCGCGTCGCTAACTCCACGTCCGCTTTAATCCGCCATTCCACGACCTCTCGGCTCTCACTGCGGGGGGCCGACGATGTGGAGCGGTCGCCAGCGTTGCGTTTGCTGTTCGGCAGCGTTTGGTTCTGACATCCGGCCGATCGCCACGCTGCCGGCTTCCCTCCTCGTCTCGATAGCTTTTCCGAAATACCTTTTTATTTTAAATCATCGGTAGTGCTGGTAGCAGTGCTCCACTGGTCTGCCGCTGAGGGGATCAAAAGGTTGTTTCGGGGACATGAAATCCTGCTGTGTCAAACTCTTTCAGAATCCACTGTGCGCTGGCTGGCCTTTATTGCTGCAGAGGAGCATTTAAGAACAGGATGTGCCGGTTTGGTTCAGTACGAAGTATGTTCGTGTCGTATCAGAACTTTCTCCATCACAACTTTTTCTTTTGTGGAATGTGTGCGGATACTAAACATTTTCCCCCCTATTGATGATTGATGAGGTTTTTGTTTTGCTTGTCTTATTCTTTTGTCTTGATTTGAAAATGATTAATCCTTTTTTTCTTAATATGTTAGGAACTTTCATTCACTGTCTATTAATAGATCTATTGGTGCTGTGCGGTACATACAATAAGATTTCCATACGGTATGAACTCCTTATGTACCGTTCATACTGATGTTACGCCGTGAGAACTGATGTTGCTCTTTCGGTGGGCGTCGCCCAGCGGTCGGAGCTACTCGTCTTACCCGTGTTGACATTGAGTCATGGTTAAAACTGACAATGAATAACCAACACTCTTTAACTGGGTAAAACACCTCGACACAGCTTGGTGCTTGTGAAACATAAACAATTTGTAACACTAAATGTACATTTATCAAAATGAACGCGCCAAACTGCATGCTGGGTGCAGCTCACAACAAGAAGTAACTCATGAAAACACGGGAAAGAGCGAAACAGGAGGAAAGAGGAGAGACCAGAGATGCACCAACACGACTTGTGCCCAAGAGAGGAGCTGCGTCTGTTTGGAGGGTTTTTGGTTTTGGAAAATCCGACGTTGTGTTGGATCAGAAAACGATTTATTGTAAAGTCTGTCGAGCCTCTGGTGGCTCTAGCAGCACATACCGCCAGAATCTTTCTATATACCGTGATATGGATTTTTGGCCTAATTTCAGTGCAAGGACCCAGTACATTGCATCCATTAGAGGAAAGGAAGCCTGAGTTGTGCGATGGAGGTGTGTTGTAAGCAGCTTTCGCAACTGTCATTAGTGAGACACCCCGAGCCGCTGACTCACACAGCGGCTTGACCAGACCACTCACATGTGCAGACTTGAGTCACACACAGAGACGTTTAGGGCTCCGGGTTGCCAGTTCTCGAGCGCCATGGCCGTTTAAATGTTTCATGAAATGCATCTCCTCCTGCGTGTCTACATTTTGCTTTTCGTTCTTTTATCAGCAAAAGGCACACCGAGCGGTTCCAACGGCCTTCCTGTTTTTATCTTTACAGGCGTCTTCAAGTACTGTTTTCAACTAGTGTGAAGGCGGAGTTGGATTTCTGTAACAGAAAATTGAAAAGCATCAAAGCGTGTAGCTGAATGTAAAAATCTCTTACAGGGAAAACAGGCAGCGTGTGGGCCCATCGCAAATTTACATAACGCAGACGAGCCCGGATTCACAGAATGATCTCCTGTCATGCATGTAAAAACAAAAAAGGGGAACCTGGTTAGATCTTTCTCTAAATTTAGCTGTGTACTGTGAGATTCACAGTTTTGTGTTCCCTTACTAATGCAGCACAAGAACGCTTTTCTCATGACCTGTAGTGTTCTAAACGCTCAGCGTGACACTGTGAACAATCAATGTAAGTCATTGGTCCTCACGGCGCCGTGTCTCGGCTCACGTATCACATGAGCGAGTTAATCGAGATTGAAGTTTTCTGAAGGAACCATTCGTTTTTTTTTTAAAAAGGCCTCGCAGTCTGACACGTCTAATTTTTTCTGTGTTAGAAAGCAGATCCAGCCCTGAGCACCGTACACTTGTTTTAATTTCCTCCTCCAATAAATAAAGATTAACAGGAGACTGGGGGCAGAGTTAGCTCCTATCAACGGATCTTTGAACTGTGGCCACGTGGCGTGACCTAAGATCTGCCTCCTCCCCCTCGTCCACGCGCTTGGATCATTTGTTAGTTGAGCTCTGTTCAGGTCCGACCTCTGCGTCAAACTTCCATTGCGGCCTCTAATGAAACGGAGGGCCATAAAACCCTTATTCCAAGTCGCCCCAGGAGCAGAATGAGCGCCCGCCAATAGATTACCGATTGAGCCTTTGTGGAGCACGAAGACGCTCTAAGCCTTTTCTTACACTAAACATATCGAGTAATTTGTCAGAAAAAAAAAAACCCTCTGAGACCGGAGGAAGAGGTCTGCGGGGTTTTGGGGAAATGAAACTGCTGCAAACAAATGCAACCTACAATTTGATATTTTAGCGTGTGCATATTGCGGTATTCACTATATTGTCCCATCCTGCTGCCCCAAATGTTTTAACCCTTTTCAAATTGCGCTCAAGGTGTCTGTCCAACTTCCAGCGTGTCCTCCTGTCTGCTGTGCTTCTGGTGCTGATGTCACAGTT